GTAGCGTTCAGGCTCTGCAGCGTAAGCACGAAGGTCTGGAGAGAGATTTGGCAGCTCTGGGAGATAAAATCAAGCAACTCGACGAAACAGCTAATCGCTTAATGCAATCGCATCCGGAAACTGCCGAGCAAACGTATGCCAAACAGAAGGAGATCAACGAAGAATGGACTCAACTGACAGCCAAAGCGAACAGTAGAAAGGAAAAGCTTCTCGATTCGTATGATCTGCAACGATTCCTCAGCGATTATCGCGATCTAATGGCATGGATTAATTCAATGATGGGCTTGGTTGCTTCCGAGGAACTCGCATCAGATGTCACGGGCGCCGAGGCGTTGCTCGAACGTCACCAGGTAAAATATATATTCTCCATCGCAGCATCGAATACAATCATACATCACTCATCTGCCGAATCGTTTACGAGTCATTTAAATTATAGAATCACAGAGCAGAGATAGACGCGCGATACGGCATACTTCCAGAGGTATATAAGAACGTTTGAGCATGTATCGAGGAAGTCGCGGATTTGCTGGCGAGAATGTCTAAAATTAATCTTCGCGCCTCGTTGATGATGTTTTGTTCTTTTTTTTCTTTTACGAGAGGAAGCTGCCGATGTTTTCTGCAATAAAAGTACTGCCTATTAACAGTTTGAATATTTTCGATGCTTCTCGCGTAATTGCTGCCTTTCTGCTTATCGTAATATCTACTGCCGAATGGATTTGATCGTACATAACAAACAGGATTGCATATTGACACAAAAAACCCGAAAACATGAGCCACGTATGATTTTACTTTAATAAATCTTTTTCATTTTTTTGCAGGAGCATCGAATGGAGATAGACGCCAGAGCGGGTACTTTCCAAGCGTTCGAATTGTTCGGCCAACAGCTATTGCAATCTAGCCACTACGCCAGTGTGGAAATATTGGAAAAACTCGAGTCCATGGCTGAGGCGCGACAAGAGCTGGAGAAGGCCTGGATTCAACGGCGTATGCAGCTTGATCAGAACCTCGAGCTGCAATTGTTCTGCAGGGATTGCGAGCAGGCGGATAATTGGATGAGCGCACGAGAAGCTTTCCTTAGCAGCGCGGATGCGGTAGACAGCAGCGACAATGTCGAAGCTCTCATCAAGAAACATGAAGATTTCGACAAGGCGATTAATGCGCACGAAGAGAAGATTGCTACTTTGCAAACTCTAGCCGATCAGCTGATCGCCGCGGAACATTACGCCGCTAAACCTATCGACGAAAGACGTTGCCAAGTATTGGATCGCTGGCGGCATTTAAAGGACGCTCTTATTGAGAAACGCTCTAAGCTAGGCGAATCTCAGACCTTGCAACAGTTTTCCCGTGACGCTGATGAGATGGAAAATTGGATCGCCGAGAAACTTCAACTGGCTACCGAGGAGAATTACAAGGATCCCGCCAATATACAGTCGAAGCATCAGAAACATCAGGCTTTCGAGGCCGAATTAGCCGCGAACGCGGACCGAATTCAATCCGTGCTCGCTATGGGAGGTAATCTGATCGAGAAGCATCAGTGTGCCGGCTCGGAGGATGCGGTTCAAAAGAGACTGGCGTCCATCGCTGACCAGTGGGAATATCTCACGCAGAAAACTACGGAGAAGTCCATGAAATTGAAGGAAGCTAATAAGCAACGTACTTATATCGCTGCCGTGAAAGATCTCGATTTCTGGCTCGGAGAAGTCGAGAGTTTGCTCACGTCTGAAGACGCCGGCAAAGACCTGGCCTCAGTGCAGAATCTCATGAAAAAGCATCAACTTGTTGAAGCAGACATACAAGCGCACGAAGAAAGGATCAAAGATATGAATGCGCAAGCCGATTCGTTGATTGAGAGCGGTCAGTTTGATGCCGCTGGTATTCAGGAAAAACGGCAAAGCATAAACGAGCGTTACGAGCGAATAAGAAATCTAGCCGCGCATAGACAGGCGAGACTTAATGAGGCCAACACTCTTCATCAATTCTTCCGTGATATCGCCGACGAAGAATCTTGGATTAAGGAAAAGAAGCTTCTCGTTGGATCGGATGACTATGGCCGTGATCTTACTGGCGTGCAGAACTTGAAGAAGAAACATAAGAGATTAGAAGCTGAACTCGGTAGCCACGAACCGGCCATACAAGCTGTTCAAGAAGCGGGAGAGAAATTGATGGATGTTTCAAATCTAGGAGTACCCGAAATCGAGCAACGTTTAAAACTACTCAATCAAGCGTGGGCCGAATTGAAGCAATTAGCTGCCACTAGAGGACAAAAGTTGGACGAATCCTTAACGTATCAGCAGTTCCTCGCCAAAGTCGAAGAAGAAGAAGCATGGATTACGGAGAAGCAACAATTACTCTCCGTTGAAGATTACGGCGATACAATGGCTGCTGTTCAAGGTCTCTTGAAAAAGCATGATGCATTTGAAACTGACTTCGCGGCTCATGGTGAACGTTGCAAGGATATTTGCGAGGCTGGCGAGACACTAATCAAAGCTGGCAATCATCGAGCGGATGCTATTGGTCAACGATGCGCGCAGCTGCGTAACAAATTAGAGCAACTTGGAGCTCTCGCAGCCCGCAGGAAGACGCGGTTGAACGATAATTCAGCATACTTGCAGTTCATGTGGAAGGCCGATGTAGTCGAATCATGGATCGCCGACAAGGAAACTCACGTGCGTTCCGAGGAATTCGGCCGAGATCTGTCTACTGTACAGACTCTACTGACGAAACAAGAGACTTTCGATGCCGGTCTCCATGCATTTGAGCACGAAGGTATTCAGAACATCACTTCATTGAAAGAAATGCTCGTTGATTCCGGCCACGATCAGACACCCAGTATACAAAAACGTCATGCCGATGTCATCGCTCGTTGGCAGAAATTGTTGGCCGATTCTGATGCGAGGAAACAGCGTTTGCTGAGAATGCAGGATCAATTTAGACAAATCGAGGAGTTGTATCTGACGTTTGCGAAAAAGGCATCCGCTTTTAATTCTTGGTTCGAGAACGCCGAGGAGGACTTGACGGATCCGGTGCGTTGCAACAGTATCGAAGAGATTCGCGCTCTTCGCGAGGCACACGCACAATTCCAAGCCAGTTTGTCCTCGGCTGAAGCTGATTTCCAAGCCTTGGCCGCTCTCGATAGACAAATCAAGAACTTCAACGTGGGACCCAATCCGTATACATGGTTCACGATGGAGGCTTTGGAGGATACTTGGCGTAATTTGCAGAAGATAATTAAAGAACGTGATGTTGAACTCGCAAAGGAAGCACAGCGACAGGAAGAGAATGATAAATTACGTAAGGAATTCGCCAAGCACGCCAATGCCTTCCATCAATGGCTCGCGGAAACAAGGTTTGCATCGGTTTTGAAAAAAAATATTTATCCACTTTTCTTTAAATAAAAATATGTAAATTATCTTCTTTCTTAGAACATCCATGATGGAAGGATCCGGATCTCTAGAACAGCAACTGGAAGCTACCAAGGTTTGTGTAATTGAAACAGATATTTAAATTATAAAAATTAAATTAGAAAAACACATGTATCATCATTATGGTTATATTACATATAAATTATATTATATACATTAAATTAAATTTATAGCGAAAAACTCAAGAAGTGCGCGCACGTCGTCAAGATTTGAAAAAGATCGAAGATCTGGGAGCTATTCTTGAGGAGCATCTAATTCTGGACAATCGTTATACGGAGCATAGTACCGTGGGATTGGCACAACAGTGGGACCAATTGGATCAATTAGGGATGCGCATGCAACACAATTTGGAACAGCAGATACAAGCCCGAAATCAATCCGGTGTGTCTGAAGATGCACTCAAAGAATTCTCTATGATGTTCAAACACTTTGACAAGGATAAGAGCGGCCGTCTAAATCATCAAGAATTTAAATCGTGCCTGAGAGCTTTGGGTTATGATCTGCCCATGATGGAAGAAGGACAACCTGATCCAGAATTCGAGAACATATTAGGTTTTGTTTATTTTAATTCTCTGTTATTTCTGAGATGTATTATTTTAGATATCAATTTTTAATATAAATGTTAATATTCACAGACATCGTAGATCCTAATAGAGATGGCTACGTATCATTGCAAGAATACATGGCGTTTATGATCAGCAAGGAAACAGAGAATGTGCAAAGTTCGGAGGAAATAGAGAACGCTTTCCGAGCCATCACCGCAGCAGATCGACCATATGTCACGAAGGAGGAATTATATGCTGTAAGTACAAATATATTGCAGAGTATTCAGAAATATGAATTATACATCCATTCCCATAATAATTTACTAAATATTTATATTTTTATTTCTTTAGAACCTCACAAAAGAGATGGCCGACTATTGCGTCGCTCGTATGAAACCTTATGTAGATCCAAAATCGGAACGACCGATAACAGCAGCGTTGGATTATATAGAATTTACACGCACTCTTTTCCAAAATTAATTATGCATTCATATATATGCATGTTATATTAGTATTTTCCCAAGCTTATTAAATTATAACCGCGCGTGAACAATATAAAGTTATTGCACATTTTTTTTTTTTAAGACCGTGCTTGATTAATGTCTTTATATATTAATCTATATATTATTATATAGAGCATTTGCATTAGATTAACATTTAACTTTATTAGATCAACTAGCTGATATAGTGAATATGTTTATATATTTTCGTTGGTTTAATAAAAAAAAAGCAAAATTTCTTCTAATATATACACTTTAAATATATTTAACGCCTACATTTTTAAAAATATATTCACAATTGGATATATATATGAAATTTAAGATCTTAAATTTTTTCCATATCAGTTAGTCTTGGTTTAATACTTTTCCATGTTATTCTTCGAAATAAATGCCTTTAATATATTATTGCGTTCGTTTTTATTCAATAAAAACCTCTAAAATGTGCAAGTTCTTAAGTTTTCGTATAAATATTTCTACATTGATATATTCAAAATTTTTTTTTTGTTTTAGTATAATAAATTTAATAAAAATATAAAATAAATATTACAGAGAAATTTTTTTGTATCTTATTGAGCAACTGGATTTACAACCATTTGAGATTTTTCTTGAATTATTTGTTCAGCGCGATACACTTTCCAACATATTAAATAATCTCTCGCTACTTTGAACAAAGTATAATAATTTATAATCAATAACAGAGTCATCGAAAGTATTTGATACCACTCGGTTATCCGTAATAAAATAAGTAGTTGAACGCCCACCAATAACAACTGCAGTCCCAATAGTGAACATAGCAACATTGTTGGATTATTGAATAAGGCCTATGCGAGAAAGATGTATAACAATTAGTATATCAAGTGTATAATAATTTTCATTATTTATGGCAATAACATAAGATCGTACATGGAATCTATAGTGATTTAGATTACCCGGTTCCGCTGCTGTACATAAACCTTCGGAACGATAAATTTCACGATTATGCCTTACGATCGATCCGTGCGGCCACAATACCGTATCATTCCACGGTTGGGCGTATATGTGATTATTTCGGTTTTCTATTTTAACCCATCGGCCTAAGTGCAGCGCTGCCCTGTGCAGTACATCGCAATATCTAGAAATCAACGAACAATGTTCATATATTCTCGAATATTGAATTCGGTTAGAGAAATAGCTCTTACGGCTGAGTGTATTCACCTGACAGGATAAGACTGAGCAAAGCATGCGCTTATCCGTCCGAGCCAGAATAAAATTACGTGCTGCACCACCCATGGTATATTGAAATGTAAGTGCGGAGGTACGAAGATGATGGGCGCGATTCCGCAAACGTATGCACTACCGGAGGATGAGAACAAAGCTCGCTTTAATCGTCGGTTGAAATCAGATCTCAAGGTGAATACTTCCGCCCGGATGGCCGACGCATTTAGCGAGCAATTGTGTAAAGGTTTATCTGCGCGCGAGAAAAGTGACATCATAAACTTTAAAAATTATCATTAAACTTTTAATTAATAATAGATGAAGTGTGTGATTGAAATGTGATAGATACTTGCCTAATAGATATTTCGTTTTACGTTCTTCCTTTCCACATGAGAATGTTGAAGAAATATCGAAAAATGGCGCTGCGCTTATTCCAAACATGACAAAATATACTGACAAACTTCTGAAACAAATGGATATTATAAGCAATATGTCTCTAGTTTGAATTACAATAATATATATAAATGTTAACAATAATAAATAATAAAGATAATGAGACATTATTTAATATATTAATATATAATGGTAAAAAAAGAAACACACGGATAACACAAGTAAAAGATCTTCATAGAGTTATGCCTCTCAGCCATGTGATACAGACACCAACACAGTATGCTCATCACAGTAATTAATAGAGATATTCTGAAATAATTATATAAATATTAAAATACCTTAATAAAATTTCGCACACATTTCATTAAATATAAGTTACCCCATAATGAATCATAATACAATACCTCATAATCTTTTGGATTGCAGGTAACCATCGAACTGGCAATAACGTATCAATGAATTGCCGTAACAATGTATAAACAAATCTACGTGCCATCATCGTAAAAATAAATATCAGCAGATAAGGATCTATCAAATAAAAATTCTGAAACAGAATTTAGGGTAATTTTAATTATCTCAATATATTATAATCTGTATCTTCTTTAGAATTATTATTTATAAAAATGTCGGTGCCTATATAATTTTCTGTATGCAAAAGTATCATACTATAACGTACCATACTATAATTATTGTACGAATGTGGTAACCACCATACAGTTCTGTACAGATTCAGCAGTTGCAGACAAGCTGCAATGATTGAGATGGCCAAGGATAAAGCTTCAAAGGTCAATTGTCCGTCGACCGGTACTACGGGTATGGGAACGTGCTTTGGTGCCAGAGATTTTCCGCCGTAAATCTCATCGATCCTTCTGTCATCAACGCCACTTCCGACCGCTCTTTCTCCGCTGTTACTCCTTCCATTGATATTTGCAGATCCAGCGTAATTATTGCTGGATCTGCCATTCGGGCCAGCTCGACCGGCAGCGTTTCGTCTGCCACCAGGCATGTTTCATGTGCATTTATTCCTTATGACATTCGAAAGACACGAGCTTCCTTATCCCAATGAATTTTGCACATGACAAACGCAAAGATAATCTTTAGTTGCAAGAAGCGTATTCTATCAAGGACAGTATTTTCTCTCCGGTTGTAATTTTTCTGACATTCATTTTGTATATGTCACTGTAAACAAAACAAACACACGATGATAAATATGATGCAAGATATCTCGAGAGTTCACGTTTATACCGGATATTCAACTCGAGCTACTTGGATCTTCTTTGACGAAAGTACTCGATTTCTTCAATGCTTTTCCAAAGGCAAAAACTGAAAAGATTGCTCGATTGAAATGTTGACAACAAGAGCCACGAACAACTGTTTTTTTTTCAAGGTTAAGAAATTCACGCAGCAAGATAAGCGCATGCGCCATCTACTGATATATGTATCCACATGTGTTGTAATGTCATTTTTTTCTCGTAAAATTGGAGCTTTTCTCCTGAATAGAATTGTTATTAGAAATTGTCAACAAAAGGTATTATTCTCCTAAACAATCTAAATTAAGAATATCAATCTATCTGAAATTCATTTCACTTTACTATTTTTTTTTTAATAAATAATCGCGATGTACGTATTAACTAACCTTGCATTTAATGTTGTCAAAAATATTGTTATTAATAATCCTTTGCACAAGTATTTTTATATTTTTATAAATTTCTATATATTGATTAAATAAAAACAAATAATAAAATTACTAAAGGAATACATATCAACAAGTTAATCTAAGTTTGATTTGTCTAAAGTTAATCTAAATTTGATTAATCTAAATTTTATTGTTTTGAAATTGCACAGATATAATTCGTTCAAGCATGGCTCATCGAGTCCTTCGAAAATATCCTAGAACGACGATAAATCGTGTCCAGAAAATAGTGCAAAAGTTTGAGTATCTACTAGTAATGGACTTTGAAGCTACATGTGACAAGCAAGTAACGCTTCAACCTCAGGAAATTATAGAATTACCATGCGTAGCACTGTCTACTAGCGATTGGAAGTTGAAGGATACATTTCACGCCTATATTAGACCTAGGGTCTATCCTAAGCTCACACCATTCTGCATAGAATTGACAGGAATTATGCAGGAGATGGTAGACGATCAACCTTGCTTCGCGGATGTATTCTCAAAGTTTCGCAAGTGGTTAATCGAAGGAGGATATTTTGATAGATCTGATAAAAGTTCGTTCGTAACATGTGGCAATTGGGACTTAAAAACGATGTTACCGAATCAATGTAACTTGGACAATATTACATTACCAGATGAATTCAAGCAATGGATAGAATTGAAGCATACATTTTGCGACTCTACTGGATATTATCCAAGAAGTTTAAAAGATATGCTTACGCGATTAGATCTTTCAATGCAAGGGCGTTTACATTCGGGCATTGATGATGTGAAAAATATGGTTTCCATCATACAAGCTTTAAAAGAAAGATATAACACGCAATTTAAAATTACTTCATCATTAACAAATTCTGCATTAGATTTAAGCAATCGTAAACAAAGCGAAGTAAGAAGAATATAAACAAATAAAACAAAGAAAACACATAGTTTGTTAAAAATTAAGTTTACATTAATAAAATATCGTTTTGCATATAAAATTCATTAATTACATTAAATATAAATAAATATTCTGATTATAAAACTGTGTATCTAATGTATCTCTAATTCATGATTGTCTTATGACTTTAATTAACACATCTTGTTTATTATTCTCTGTATAAATCTCAAGTTTAGTTTGCATATTACGTTCTATCCTCTGCGAACATTGTATTTTTAAGGAATATCTTCGTCTGCTTGGTAACATTCCTTCTGTGGGAATAACGCTGAGATAATTTGAATTTAACAGATTGGTCTGGAATGGCTCGGCCGTTTTAAACGAGCTAAAAATAGTCACAGTTGCTTCGGTCTCTACTGGAGGACGAAGAACGACAGTGGACGGAGTTACAGTGAATTGCTCTCCTAGCAATCTGGAACATTTAGTTTCATATTCTGCCACAGATCTATGTGATAAAATATAATTTTAATCAGAAATTTTTCTAAGCTAATATTAAAAAATATAAAGATTCCCCCCCCCCCTCTATATATATATATATATATATATATATATATATATATATATATATTTATTTGATTTTGTATATAATAATAATATACTAAAATAATATACAAATAAATAAAAAAAAATCTTACTGAGAAGTAAAACAACTTGCTCCATCTGCTTCATCCATATGAGTAGTGTCACTTAAGGTATAATACATCTGTGATTCATCAGCATCGTAAACTGGTAAAGTATCATCAGCACATGCTTCCACGGTAAGCATTATTTCATCTTGATGAACTCCAGTGCAAAGATCATTTAAATTTTGCTATTTAAATATTTGTTGTTATTAATACATGAATAATAATAGAAAACACATTAAAAGCTATATACTTACAATGGAATCATAAATCGATAAACCAATAGGTACTTGTTCCCCAACGAAGTTTTTACATATAGATTGTACAATATTTTTAAATGCCTCATTTTCATTTTCAGTTGGATTATTTGATTCCATTATTTTATTAGACAATCTGGGGGAAAAAAACAAAGTATTTGTTTGTCAGCGATTAAAAATTAATTAGTAATACGAGTCGAGCATCGATGTTATGACACATTTATTTATTTATTATACAAAAAAGTATAAAACAAATAAAAATAAAGTTTTTTTAATTTTTAATTTTTATTTGTTTTATGCTTTTTTGTATAATAAATAAATAAATGTGTCATAACATCGACGCTTGACTCGTATTGTTATTGAAACTAATTTGTTAATTTTATATTTCGAATCTTACCTTTATTATTTGTAAAAATTAATGCTAACTTGATTAAATATTTAAATAAATACTAATTTGATTATTAGATACATTCGCTCATCTACCTGCGTATTCGCCAACGGGTCGGTTCATCCCCATAAGTAACGTTTACTGTTGCAACATGGGACACTTCCGAATGTTGTAACATCGCGAAATCTTCTTTTTTAGGATAGAATTCTATTAATACTTGTCGAGTTTCTTTAGGCTTGAGAATCAATTCTTTGGGGTTTACATGCCAAGAATTCATTGTTGGAGAAATAACTGAAATATATATCCACACACATATATGTATTTATAACTTATTTAAAATATATAATATGTAATATAAATATGTTAATAATTATCAAAATAGAGAAGAAATTAATTTATTCAAACCTTTTGGTATAACTTTGATTTTAGCAAATGAATATAAGTCTCCGATATTTTGTAACGTAATATCTGCAGTCAAGACTGTAGTTTCAGAACACAAAGTACCAAGTGATTTTCCCATCTTCCCATTTGCATCTTTGAATATATTCGAAATTTTTATCTTGCTATACCCGCCATATCCATATAAAGGTATCTGTGATAATTAAAATTATTTAATAATCTTTTTTAAATTTGTTAAAATGTTCCATAAAAATTGTATGCATACTTTTTTGTGTTGCTGAGAATCACTACCATCTCTTGTATAATGTTTAATAGTGATTTTTCCAATTACTGGACCTGTATGATACGGACTAAAATTAACAGCAAGTGTTTTAAGCTCTTGACGTTGCAATGCTAATATCATACTTGTATTGAGAGTTTGTCTATCACCAAGAAACTATAACATAGATATTTGCATTGATTAAGATTTTCAATTTTTAATTGTAACATAAATATTCGCATTGATTAAGAGTTTCAATCATAATTCTTCATAGATTTAGATAATACCTTAAAACTTTTATTGTCATCCCATATGTCTATCTGAATTTTAATCTTATTATTACTTATGTTACGGATTTTAAATTCTTTAATTTCATTCTTTCCTGTTTTTACACTATTCCATATTAAGGCAGCATGTGTCGACTTGACTGGAATTATATTTCCTGCTACAGTTACACCAGATACTGTACTAATTGGTGAATTTCTATCGCTAGGTCCGGATCTACATATAAATTCAAACTTGTCATAAATTATTATTTAAATTCAAACTTGTCATAAATTATTACTTAAATTCAAACTTGTCATAAATTATTACTGAAATTCAAACTTGTCATAAATTATTACTTATTACAATGATGAGTTAGTTAGATAATTACATAGAAATACAAACTGACCTATTAGAAGTTACACTTTGTGGCGACGTTGCTGGACTTAGAGATACAGCATTACTGGGTGTGTGGCAGCGTAAATAATTTTCTTTTTCTGATTCTGGCGATATTTGTTCGGTACTTATCACATAAAGATAAACATTATTACCGGTGATTAATTTAACCATTGCACATCTGTACAGAAAAATATGTAATGACAGAATGAGTAAAAAATAAATTTATAATATTAAGAAACTGAAATCGTCACCTTTCGTTATCTGAAGAGCTTGTATCTGAAACTTGTGATTTATATACAATTAAGAATGAGTTTTTTTCTCCAATTTGTAAAAATATATTATCTGGTTCTATAGAAAAATTCTGTGCTGAGTTTGAATATTCTTCAATAGGCACGATAGTAGCGAATACGTGCGTTGCTACATTCCCCGAATTTATAACATTTAGCAATTTGCCTTGCTGTCTTGAAACGATTATAGGTACCTCTGTGTCAACGATTTGAATTTTACAGATACCCATCTGTGCATAAAGGGGCACTTTTTTCTGGAATAGGATGGTGTCATCGCATGGTACATGTATAATTAGTATACTCTTCCAATGTTGCAATTGTTTTTGTGAGACATCTATTTAACAAAAATGTCACGTATCTTCAATAAGTACTCACATAAGATATACACACTCTATGTGAAGAAGACACTTACCTATCAATGTAGATTGTTCACATTTTATATTAATGGTAAATTTCTCATGAGGTTTTAATATTAGATTAGTAAGTTCGTCGTGAGATTCATTTAGCTTTATGGACTTATCAAACGTACCATCAATGCTAAACATTTTCGGTCCATCCTAATAATGATTAAGAATATAATAATAAAGTTTCTATTGTTTCAACTATATATGTGCGTTGTGCGTGTGTATATATATTAATATTTTTAATATAATATAATCTCACATGTAATATAGAAAGCTTAATAGGCACATCAATACTGTTTTTATTATGAAATATTATTGGTAGAATTTTTGCTGAATCTTTTATAATATATTGAAAATCCAGTTCCTCTTTATGAGAATCACATATAATCTCAAGTTCAAGTTGTTCTGGGTTAACACAGATCATGTGCTTCATGTACCATTTCGATTTTGTTACCATATCTGTTAAGATTATATTTAATGCTACAAATATTTGTTCACACATTTGTATTACTTTCACTTTAATCTGTAAGTAGTAGTTAAATATTAATATATAATTATTGATAAATAGTAGAAAATTTTTATGTTTATGCACTTATTATTAACTATCAAAATATACTTTTGAGGATTGCTCTCCATTAGGCTCTATTAAGATTTCATCTTGAGGTATATTCAATTCAATACTCTGCATATCTCCTAATACTTCTTTTAATGTTAAAGAATATGTAATCCATCTATCCCCATGATTTAGGAGTTCAATATTAACTTCACTTATCATGCCAATTATACAATTGCACAATCGTTCTGTATTCTTTCCGATAACAATATTACCTGCAAAAAATCGAAAAAAATTGTCGTAGATTATTTTTTTAGATTATTTTTTTTAGAAAAGAAAGTCGGTTTTAATAAGTAAATTAATTATACTGTATAAATTAAGTTCCGTTTCTGTATTTATATTCATAGAAAATGATGGACCCATTATATTTTTAGAATGTTCTTTTATCGGTTCGTTTCTTTGTATATTTAAATCATTGTAACTCTCATCGTAACTTCCTAAATCCTTTTTAAATGACAATAAAGTAAATTTGTCATTAAATGAGAATTTGGAATTTTGTAACAATGTAACATCTAATCCTGATATTCCTATACACACATATATATATATACATGTGTGTGTGTATGTGGGTGTTAAAAATATCATGTTAAATTTCTTTTACAGTAAAATATTTATGGATATCTATATTAAATTCCTATATATATATTAAAATATTATGTTTGTGACAAAGTTAACAATATAATATTTATAAAATGTTAACAATATAATATTTATAAAATGTAAACTTCTAAATTAAATATCAAGAAATCACAATTTACAAACCTGCACCTTGATTAAATAAAGTTGCATTTTTATCACTTGCTTCTTCTTTTAATATTTTTTCTTTATGTATATTCGTAAAAGATTCGGCTACATTCATATTTTTATTTGAAATAAATGATAATATCCTTGAGTGCTCTTGTTTCACATTAACAGTTTCATTTTTAACACTTTCACTTCTAATTTCATCTTTAGTTTTACTGTCTAGTGATAATTTTGTTGGAAGATTCTCTGGAATATCTTGATCAAATTTATTAGAATTCCCAGCAGGTATTGCTAGCATAGACTTTCTATTAGAAGGCAACATGAAAGTTTCTTCTATTGCATCCTTCTTCTTTTTCTGTGCCATTAAAATCTGATCAACTAAACGCCGCGGCGTGCCACTATCAACGTTTTGTAAAGTATTAAGAATAGTGCTTAGACTTATGATATTAGTTTTATTCATATCCTTTGTTGCATTTGTGACAAATTCCTCCTTTGATTCCGTTGACAATGTTACATTTGCTGCAATATGTTTTTTTGTACACAATATGTTGGTATTTACGAAAAAATTTAATATATAAAATAAAAATAGTAATTAAATAGTAATTATACCATTTGTCAAAACAGTCGACTCAACTAGTGATTCCAAATTGCCTTTTTTTATGGAACTTTCCAAAGTAAGATCAAAATTTGGTTTTACTTGTTTATTATTTCCCAATACTGCTAGATCAGCAGATTTACGTTCAAAATATTGGCCAATAGATAATTTTCTTCCAGCACAAGATCTGTGATTTAAACATTTATCATTGCATATATTTTAGCAAAATTGAATAAAATAACTGTACAACATACTCTACTGATAAATCTAATTGTCCAATGACACCAGAAAAGGAAGTGAGATCTAATTTCTGCATTTCTGTATTTGTAAGTGGCATACAATATGTACGATCTTGTTGCCAACGAACTTCATCAATTGATAATTGTTCAGCCACCTTTGATCCAGACAAAAATTCTTCATTATTGAGCTGTTCCATTATCTTGTTATTGACTTGCATCATTATGTCATCTGTACTGAAGTTAATACCACTGAAAGATTTACTTGAAAGAGATTGTTCCTTTGCACTATTGTGGACACCAGATGAGCGCGCCGTGATTTCATTAGGATCAAAAGCAACCTGAAACTTATGTCTTTTAAAATGTGTTTTGATTATAAAATAAAATTCTTAAATTACAAACACTTACATTAGTCATACTGACTTCATTCATCAAGCGGTTAGTGTTGCATTCTTGATCCAATTCAAGCGTGCAAGGCTCTTTTGGCAAAGTAAAATTTGAAACAGATAAATGATCTGTTATATTTTGTATATTGGCATTATTTTCCTTATTCATATCTAAAATAATTACGTATAATTATAATCTTAAAAATTCATATAAATAAATTTTCTATATCTCTTTTTTTCTATTTACCTACGGTTAGAGAAGAGTTTTTTGTGTCGCTGCACTTTTGAAGAAGCCTTCTGGCTTCACATTCAAGCTCTGCATCGATATTGTGATTCTGATTGAATTTCTGCACACTTTCTGTAGTACTCATATTTGTGAGACCTGTCAATAATATCACTTGTTTATTATATTAACATTATTCATATATACTTTAAATGATAGATAGTTCAGTTTTAAGAACTGATCAATAGTTGACAGCTTCTAGATTTGATTTCAATCCTATGTTTTAAAAAAGTTTAAAGCAAGATAATGGCAAAAAGAAAAATTTTTTAGAAAGAAAGAACGAAGATTAAAAGAATTAAAAGCTTAAAGCAAAAGATTAAAGCAGAACATATTTTGAAAAAAATATCTAAATGTGGCAAATAACAAAATACTTCTGATAATAATTAAACATACAAAAGTACAGTATGTCAATATTCTTTAAATTGTAAAGTTCTTAGCACAAGATCATATATATTTATATATACCTGATATATCACCCAGAAGACCTAACGAAGAATTCTGTTCATTATGCGCCAGCTTTTCATACGATACATTTTGACCATCTTTGCGATGCTTGTCATTAAATTTGCTCTCCAACCTGAAATAAGATATCTCTAGAATTAATTGTCCTGTAAAACATTGCTTAAGGTTAACTAAAGTTTGAATGACTTGTCCCTGTGTAAAATATGATGCTTCAAAAAAAGAGATTCAAAAAGATTCTCAATCAAACGTCAGTTTTAAGCGAACGCTTTGTAAAAATTCGCCAAGAAAAAGGACCGCTCGAGAAAACTTACGGGCTTTTTCTTCGAACGGTCGACGACGCTTGAGGCTGAGGGGTATTTAATATCGTCTCATTAAACCCACCAGGTCCCTTGATCGGCGTAAACATCGACATCGTCAAATCCTTTGTTTCTCGCGCTGGAAATTCCAGCTTGGAACGCGGTAATGGTCAATGAAAAAGAGTCGAGGAACGAACGAGTCGACAATTTTTCAACACATCCGGATCGTTCGCGTAACCCTCGGCCGAACCTCGTTCCCGAAGGTTAAACAACGACAGTTGAATCGATTTTGCGATTTAAATTTGAAAAATCTCGGACGTCATCGACGATTGGATACGCGCTCGAAGGTCGCTACGTAATTTACGACGCACGTAGAGAGAAATGCTATGAGGAACAAACGAAGACGACGAAAACAAATACAGGACGGACATATATGGCACAAGTCCCGAAAAACATTGGAGACATGTTCGTTATTTTCTTATGATAAATTTCTTGTGAAACGAAAATAATTAATCCACCCCGAAAACTGACAAACCTCACGTGCACGATTGCGCGGTTCGTTGAACGCTCATCTAAACGCTTCTAGTGTACGGTAAAGTTGAAAATCGAGCACCGAAAGATGTATATTGGATATCGTAAGTATTGTACAGATAGAAATTGCAGAGATATGAATAAGCTAAATCATAATAAATCGTAGAAAGAGGGAAGAAAAAGAGAAAAAGAATCTTTAATATTCCAAATATTTAGATATTTTCGCGTCTTTAATGTAAAAAATAAATGGATAAGAAGTTGAAGTTTATCTTCTTAATAATTCAGAATAAATCAGAAGTTTATCTTTTTAATAATTCAGAATATTAATTTCAATATGATTAATCTGCAAAGTTTGAATTTTTACTCTTTAAAGTTGAAAATTGTTTACAATGTTTTATCAAATACTTTGGCTATGAAAATAATTTGTTAAATATTATAATTCTTTTTACTTTTTCTCATTCAAATTTTATAATACTTGTAAACGTTATTGACTTCTTTTATAATTGTAATAATTGTTAAACTATCAGCTTATCAAAATTTCATCTTAATGCCAATATATAAATAGAAATATACGTGCTCTATCTTTATCCGCATATGATAAATTCTTTTATCTATACATGATAAGTAAAAATAAATAAACTAGATAGTGGAATACATAGAATGGTTGAATATCCCTAACAAAGATATTAAAAAATTCGATATCGTTCCTCTCTCTCTTTCCCTTTATCAGAGAGGTTATATATTTATTTTTTTTTTCATAATGTCGTAAACACATACTTTATAATAATTTAGCCACTACTATCATTAAATATCGTTATTGAAATATGTGACGATTTAAAATATGTATATAACGATTTTTTCTCCGGAAGAGGAACAAATACGTGCATTATTACACGACCTTGTTATTCTATAGTAATTGAGTCATTTAACGACATGTGTTTGTGTAAAAATCATGGTTTGTATTGTTTTCATTTTTTGTGTAAAATAAATTTTTTCTATAAAATCTGGAAATACTGATATTAATGAACAATTTTTTTTCTTGCCTTATATTCTTCTCTAACATAACTTATAATAACGTTATGTTATTATTCCAAAGACAATATGTACAATTCTAATTTTAATTATATTTAATGCTGTGATATGTAATATCATTATATAATTTTGAAAAATAATAAGTTTAATTTAATCTTTGAATTTTTTTATATATTATTAATTTATATAAATAATAGGACATAAAATATTTTCCATGTAACATGTTCTTTCAAATTACTATAAATTATTGTCTTCAGATATATATTTATATTTATATTTTATATACAGGTAATTAGTTAATGAATGACGATGGCATATCTTGATAAAAATAATGAAACATCTAAAGGTGCAAAAATGAAGCAGGATGAACAATATCAAATTCCAAAGGACAAAAATGTAACAAAGACTGGCTTAGATATATTATACACATCTCAAGTAGATCGCAATGTAACTGATGAAAATCTAGAAATGAAAATATTATCATTGAAACATTTATTAGAAAAAGATCCAAAAGCTGCTGATTTGAAATGGTCTCTTTTCGTGGCAGCATCTAATACTTATCGTTATGACAGTTGTTTGAAGCCATTTCCGCCTATGTATATTAAGAATGAATGCAAGGATATTGAAGCTTTGGTATGTTAAAGATTCAATATCTGATATTTGTGTGTAATATGCAAAAATTACAAATTAATTAATATATCATTTTCTTTCTACAGAGGAGAGCTATAGAGTCAGTACCTTCTTTACCTTTGATATACAAAGAACTTAATGAAGCTAGCGTATATGAGAATTATAGTGAAATGATAGAATTATTATATTGGGTGTTGATACGATTAAGAGATCCACACATCAAGAGCGTGCAAAAAGAAAATGTAAGTTTGCGTATTAATATTTATGACAAAAAAATTCCAAAAAGATATAATGTATGACATAAGATCTTAGATAAATTCTTGTATTACAGTATGATTCAATATTGAAGAAAGTGCCATTGGAGATGCCAGTTACACCTCCAAATCTTATATTTCAAGTGGCAAGTGCAAAACAATCTACAATAGAAGAAAAATGGAAATCAAGTGCTACAAATTATTCGACGCTTTATGCGTATCATGGCAGCCGTTTGGAAAATTTCCATTCCATTGTGCATTATGGTTTACAACAAAATATGTGCAAAGTATAATAATGCTGATATTATTAAATTGAAATAATGTTTCTCGTCCTATAAATATTTTTTCTCTATAATGAAAATTATATGAAATTAGCAGATATTTTTAAATGATGCTATTTTTTTAGAGATCACAATTTGGCAAAGGAATATATCTTTCAAGTGAATTAGGAGTGAGTCTACCCTATAGTCCTGTAGGTTATGGATGGGGAGGCAGTCTTCTTGGAAGTGAAATAAGTTGTATAGCTCTTTGTGAGCTTATTGATCATCCTGATATAAAGAGAGGAGATTCAAGTAAGCATACAATATATTTATGAATGAACAGTGTATTAAAATTTAAAAGATAAATTGTTACAATTATATTTTAGGAGATAGTGCGCAAAATAGATTGATTGATTCCGTTGGTGGAAAAATACCAGACAAATATTTCATAGTAACAAATAGTGATTTAGTAAGGATACGCTATCTACTTGTTTATACCCAAAATCTCCATACAACTAGGTATATAACATTATATAACGTTATATAACATTAGTTACATATTTAAATTTTATTTGATTATACAATCATTATTATATTATTTCAGTACTACTGACAATTCAGGATTACTGGCATGGTTCAAGCAACATAAATTACTAACGTTTGTGCTCGGCTACGTCGTGCTGTTAGCTTCGGTTGGATTAACACAGAATAAACAAGTAGAGAAGTATTACAGGTTATTTATCCAAAAAGCAGGATTCGAATAAAAAACTGAGCATTGCAATATTGATTTTGAAATAAACAAAGATTATAAATATATTCTCAAAAAAGGTTTTATGTGCTAATATTTCCTTAATATTAAAGAAAGGAATATTTTTTATCCTTGTATTTAATAGACAAAATATTATACAAAGTGTTTTCATGATTTTTAATTTTGAAATTTATAGCTTTTTATATATCAATTAATGAACATCTATTGATGCATAATGAATAATGTTATCTTTTATATATATATTTTTAAATAATTTAAATATATATATATATTTAAATATTTTTAAATTATATATTTTTAATATATACATATATATATATATATATATATATATATATATATATATATATAAAATTGAGAGAGTAAATATTCTATATCATATATAAAAATTTATATATGCATATGCACACACATATATTATATACATTACATTATTATGAAATATTATTTCTATAATTGTTTAATACCGTGAAAGTATAATAGGAAAGTTCTCAGTAACTAAATAGTCATCTTCAAATAAAATGATTAGGTTTACCTCAAATTCTGAAAAGAAATTGCACACATAGATTTATATAGTTTAAATTTTTTAACAAAGCAGGTATAACGAAATATTCTTACCAACTTTGAAATTGCTTGTGCTCAAAGTAGGACATGTAAATAATCTTGGAAATATCATGTAAATTGGAATAGCAAGATTTGTGCAAGCATTGCCTTCGCCAATTTGTATATTTTGTATCTCTGTAGCTGAAAAATGTAGTCTTATAAATTTTTCTCAATTTTTACATGGATTAATTATTCTTACCGTCTCTAGAGTATCCTTCTGCACATCCACAGGTTTCTACCCTCACCAATTGTAATTCTATAGATTTTATAACAGCCTCGCAGTGTTCAATCACTACCTACAAACATATATAGTAATATATTACAGTACAATATTACAAATAAAATAATATGAAAAAAAGTTATCTATATATACTTCTCCTGTCAGAGGTTCAGAGAGTTTGCAATACAGAGAGTCTAATCTCCCTGAAATACAAAATTTTGGCACATTAGGTCTATCCCTAGCATTTTGCAGAGATTCTGGCATTATTTTAAAGAACACAATTTTACTGTGTTCTTTTTCTACTTTGCTGCTTGGTTTATCTTCTACTATAAACTCCAGTGACTTGCTCACATCTTTCGCGAGAAAGCTTCTTTTTATATCACAGCGTATCAAGTACTGTATATTTACAAAAACACCATGATATGTTTCATAAAGAGATTTACTTCCTCTTGGTTTTAATGGTAATTCAAATGGTATTTCTGTTTTGCCATTTGGAATCTTCCCAGATGGAGCAACATCCAATGTATATTGTACCAATTGTATTGGCTAAAAAGATAATTACAATTTTTTAGAATCTATAGACCTATACTTCAGAAAAAATTATATCTATAAAAAATTAAAAATTTACAATACTTATATAGTTTTAGATCGTTTTTATGCTGTATTATTTATAGCATTGTACAATGTGCAAAAATCGACATAAACACAATAAAATGCTTTAATTCGAGATTTATAAAATAATAATTGTGCAAGATAAAGATGCAACACATTCAGGATTTATTAAATTTGTTATAAAAAAGATATGTATCACTAACCTTAACTGAATTATAAAATGCCTCGAATATACCCACATTCTTTGAGCTAAGCTGCAAGTTCACCGAGCCTTCCATAGTGAGAAATATGCCATCGTGCTTTACGTCCGAATTGCTCTTTAACAATATCAGACCAGCAACCACTTCCTACAACATAAATCACAATATAATTTCAGACCTAAATACCGAGTGGAAAAAATAATACTTCTATGATGAACGACTAACCCCCTCGTAATATATTTTGCTCGCACGTTTTAATTTTATATCTATATTGATAGACATGATTTTCCCGGTTTCCGTGACACTTGAATTATACAGCTGTCAAATAAATCAGCTGTTAACATCATCTGTCAATCTGTCAACACATCACATGTTATCAAGTAAATTCTGAATTTGGCCGAATTAATAACAAGCTGTTCAAGCAACAGGCAATACTTCAGGCAATGTTGCAATCATCTAAATCAGCTGTTGTAACAAAATTTTGACAGATTATTCAATCAAAATAAAATGTATAATTGTAAGACAAACTTGGCGTAATTTCCTTCCATATATGATATAGTATAACCTATATATATTTGCGGGTGTAGTTTTGATTGTACTAGAGAACCTCTAGGAGAGAGAATGGACAACTGATCATGTGACATGTGATCAAGCTTTTTCATGATTGGCTGGCAGAAAATGTATCAATTTTAGCTATTGCGACGCCAATGCAAAATATGATACACACAAATAGGTTAATAATGTGTGTCATGTGTGTCCTATTTGTGTGTCATCATATTTTGCATTGGCGTCGCAATAGCTAAAATTGATACATTTTCTGCCAGCCAATCATGAAAAAGCTTGATCAGTTGTCCATTCTCTCTCCTAGAGGTTCTCTAGATTGTACTTTTGTTGTGTTTATTTTCTAGAGGGTCTGTTCTTTTCAGCTGCACTGCTGCACTAGTGCAATTAGTTAGAGTGAAAGAAAGCATGTTTGTCTCTTTCTAACTTATTGCACTGCACTTAGTGCAGCAGTGCAGCTGAAAAGAACAGACCCCTAGTGTTGTATGTGTATTTCTAAATCATTTCATTAAAATTCTGCCTTTATATATCTACGAGTTTTCATTAAATCAGATTACAAACTTTTGTATTATAAAAGTATATGTTATATTATATTATATATTAATTTATTGATCTTTATATATAACTGGATATGACATAAAACGAAAAAACTATAAATTCTCAAAATAAAATTCAAAATTGTGAACTCTATGTATAATAAATGCGTTCCACTTGACAGAATTTTCGCTTTAAAATATAAGATTCTTCGCTCTGATTGGTCCAATATTTTGAAACAAAAAAAGTTCCGCCAAAATATAAATATAGCCCACAAGTTTAATAACTCCTAATATTTTATTGATGACAGTTTCTGAGCTTTTTCTTTTTCTTTTTTTAAGAATTCAAGAGACTATGTTGAAGGAAAATCTGAGTCACAAATATTAGTTATGCCATACTCTATTGTTTCAATTTAAATAGAGATTATTAAAATATATATTAAATATTATTAAAATATAAATAATCTTCATAAATAGATAAGTATTGACTGTATTCTAAATTTATATTCTGCCCAAAATTAACAGTATACTATAAGAGCGGAGGTACAAATTTTTGTATTTTCTTGCCTATATTCCAAAATTCGCTGCCAGCTCTGAAAATATATAATATACGTAACGTGAACTACAGATTTTCAGCGCTGGCAGTGAATTTTGGAACACGCCCTTTAAGGTACAATTTCATTGACGCTAAGAAGTAGCGTCAACCATTGGTTGAACAATGAAGCAACTACTTACTTCTTTATTCAACCAATGGTTGACGCTACTTTTTAGCGTCAATGAAATTGCACCTTTAGTCCCGATCTACAATAGGTAATTTAAACTCTAAGCCTTAAGAAATTGACCAATTACAGTCGAGTATTCTCTTCATACTTGACTGTGATTGGTCAATCTCCTAAGGCTTAAAGCTTAAATTGCCTATTGTAGACCCGGCCTTATGCATAGCTTTTTGGACCAATCAATTTCCTGGTTGTGCAAAAATTTGCGCACTCGACCTAAGTCTGTGATCTATAGTATACGTGACATAAACTATAGATTTTCAGTACTGAAGGCAATGAATATCAGAACACAGTCTATGGCTCGGGCATAGAATCGACCATCACGATTTGCTGCACATGCAGTTATATCTATATACGTAAAATTCTCTGATTTACCCCTCTGACCTCCCCGAAGCGCCTACGAGCAAACAAATTCAAATCGAAGGAAGACGTTATAAGAGCCTCCGAATTTTGTGACCTGTGTTGCTTACTTCTCGAAGGAAACGACGGTATATTATATTAGCGTCGCGAAAATAGCGATTTCCTTTACGTAATTGACGATGGCGACGAGAAATCGAACCGCAGTTACGGTGAGTAAATAATTTATACATAATTAGGGAAGATATTTAAATATATTTTCTATAACCGAGGTCGTCCTTTGGCGGTCATTGATATAGAGACATCTTTAAATGTCCTTCGCGTTCTTTTAAACGTGCTTGCCACGTTTCGATGAGCCACTTCGATTTCTTCAGCATCCCAACAATGATTCTTTTATTTTTCCGAAACATAAAAGTTCTTCTTTTGCGATTTCTTCTTTGGATATTTCTTCCCTTTTTCGCGCGTCTTTCATCATCCGCGAATGAGATATACATGGAACATTCATGAACAAAGAAGATTAAATTCAAGCATTAATAATATTCTGTCGTTTTATATTAAAATTTTGTTTTAATAAAAATGTATAAATGATAATTATATACAAATATGACGCAATTCCTATAATTTCATAATGATTTTCTTTCTCACAAATATATGTTATTTCATCTTCCTATACCAAAAATGATAGCTTTATCTTGTGTAAAATATTGATTAAAATAGAAATATAAATAATTGTTGATTTAATATGGAAAATACATACATATATATCCTTCTATATTAACAATCCTCTAAGTAACAATCGTGAGAATATTGTATTTCAAATATATAAATTTAACTTCTAGTTTTTCTTCTATGTTATAGATAAACCATCAAACAAATCAGGAAAATATTAAAAATATAAAACCTTCAGTTGTACCAGTGAATTTAAAAAGAGCAGCACTAGGTGAAATAAGTAACAAAGTTAATACATTGAGAGGTGCACAGCCCATAGATAGGACTAGCTTATTGCAAAAGAAAAAGATTGTAATACCAAAGCGACAAGCTGTGAAACCAAAAGTGTCTGAGAAGCCAGTGCAAATTGTACAGCCAGTTATATCTGACATCGCTAAAATAGATAATGGCTCTAATACAGCTGCCATATCAACAACTCCCCTTAGTCAAAAGCGAAGAGGGAGAAAGTCATTTTCAACAGACCTATTAAAATTTGAAGATATTGACGAAGAAGATAAAGGAAATCCTGTTTTAGTTTCCATCTATACCAACGATATACATGAATATTTAAGGACATTAGAAAGACAAACTCCTATTACAAAAGGATTTCTATCGGGTCAAGAAGTCACGCCCAAAATGAGGAGTGTACTTGTAGATTGGTTAATCGAAGTACATCAACAATTTCGATTAATGCAAGAGACATTATATCTCACGGTCGCAATTATCGATCGTTTTCTACAGGTAAAAATAACATTACTAATATGTTACAATAATAATAGTGCATTTATTCTTTTAGTTAAAAAATATGATGTTTTTTAATCTTTTATGTTATATTTCAATAGTATACCTTTTATTTTTTACAGGCTTTCAGAACCATAGACAGAAAGAAATTACAGCTGGTAGGTGTGGCAGCTATGTTTATCGCTAGCAAATATGAAGAAATGTATTCGCCGGATATAAGTGACTTTGTATACATCACAGACCAGGCATATACTAAATTAGATATATTGGAAATGGAATTGGTTATAGTGAAAACCCTAGATTACTCGTTTGGTCGCCCATTACCACTGCATTTTCTTCGAAGATACAGCAAAGCTGGGAAGGTTATACATTTTTGAGGCATTTAAATTTTCATTTGTGTTATCACAAATGATATATTGTGGTAGATAATATATTATAATTTTCTAAATCATATCTTATGTTTTAAGGCACTTCCTATACATCATACAATGGCTAAATACTTTCTTGAACAAAGCTTAGTCCATTATGAAATGTGCCATTATCCACCTAGTCTCATTGCTGCAGCAGCAATCTATCTAGCATTTTTGTAAGAAATATAATGTTTTTCTTTTCATTGTCATTTTAAAATATCAATGATTAATGAACAATAATTATTTTTTTACAGAATTATTGGTAATGATGAGGAAGACGAAGATAAACATATCTGGACAGATACTCTAGTATATTACAGCACCTATTCTAAGGACGATGTGTTACCTGCAGTGAGTGATATAGCTGCCATAATAATTAAAGCAGAAACAAACAAACATCAAGCTGTAAGAAAGAAGTACGTCCATGTAAAGCATATGAAAATTAGTGTTCGACCGGAGCTTAAGTCGCCAATTATGCTTGCCATTGCAGCAAGAAGTAATGAAACAGATTTATAACAGAATAGAATTATATATATATTTGTGACATTTTTTATTATGATAATGAGATATATTTTCAATAAGATATTTGTATGTCATATTAAATGTATCAAACATATAATGAATCTAATCATGGACGTTGTAGTTTATGAAAGAGAAGAGTGCCAGGCAGAAAAAGAGAAAAAAAGAGAAAGTTAAACTGCGTCCTTCAAAAGCTAAAATAAAGAACTTTATCACAAAGTGATGAATATTGTATGAATTAAATATTTGACACAAATTTCTTATTGAGTCTATTCTCGTTCAGTTGAAGCATATTAACGAAAAACAGGACGTATTTAGAGATTTATATATACAAAAGTTTGTTAAGATTAGCATGAAAATTTAGTCAGGTATCACTGATGGATTTTATTTTGGACTGAGATAGTTAAACTAGGTAAGCAGAAATCATACAATGAATCTTTTTATAATGAAATATTAAATAAAGCTTTTAGTTTTTATTCATAGCTGATTATAAAAATATTTTAATTTTGATATACGTCCTACACATACACACAGATACTTTTTAATGTCACCATATAAAAATATATAAGTATTACAAACATATATATTTCATTTTGTATGTTTTTATATTCATATTTTTTCTCAAGTACAGTCTTTCTTAATTAATAGGGAAACCATTTAAGTTTTTTGCTTGCTATTGAAATATAAATTGCATAAAAGTTATGTACAAAATCAGAAATAAAAAAAATTTTTGGAGATTGAAATTTTTATCAATATGGTGATATAAAGTTTATACTTTAATTATATATGTTATACTACTATATGTCCCCTATAATATGTATATAAAATAATTATTGTAAAAGTATATTCGCCTGAGGAAATATGAAATTTTATATCGTTAGTTAAGTAATCTAAATTTTAACAATCTAAATTAAAAATGTTTAATATATGACAAAATTTCAAAATTAAATATCCAAATAGCCACTATATATATGTATTTAGGCTTTATTAGTTAGAAATTATAACATCATAATGATATGTTACTAATAACTATACACATATCTTTGTAAATAAATAACTAAATTAATACATGTTTGCATTAATTAATTTATAGTACCTTAATTTCACTTACTATACAATAATTACACTCACCTTATATACACTTATAATATTTAAATTATACATATAAGATTTACTAACTAAATTTTTTATTTATTCAATTGGCGATTAATTCATCAGATCAATGTTCGTTTTCGTTAATTGGATAGAATTATTAATTTTGTTATATATTTGTCAGGTGAAAAGAAAGATTAGATTAAAAACGCCGAATTATAAAAAAATTTTATTGAAGGTAATTTTCTGCTAGCTAATATAATCGCCGATTCCGATTAAATTAATCGAAATTTATTAATATAATCGTTATTCTAAAACTCCTACTCTTTCATTGATATCATATTGAATTATGACGTTAAAAATGTGATTTTTTTTCTTTCGAAAAAAAAATATATTCTTTCGAGTTATACAAGTGATTCTTTAAATTTAATATTTATTATATATTTATTTAAATTCTTTTATTTCTCTCTTTGCTAAAAAATATTTATTAAGAAAAAAAGAAGAGAATAAAAGTTTAAATACATATTTGATAAAAATGTTTAAAAAATACTTAGAACACAAGATGTTGCATCAGTTTCAGGCGGATGCGTTATATATCGTTCTGAAAAATAAAAACAAAATACATAACACACAAAGAATGCAATGAATATCGTTTTAATATATTGCATGAGCACTTACCCACTAATTTAATAGGCGCAGTAATTTCTTGAATTTGTGCCGGTGTATAAATTGTCATTTTTTCCTGTCAATAAAAGATGTAGAGAGCACGATTTTCATGAATCGTTAAAGAATATTTTTAATAATTACTCACAATTTCGGCTAAACTCGTAGGGGCTGATTTGTCCCAAATTTCTGATTTACTATTCTCTATCAATTGAAGCAAATTTTTTATTTCAATGTCGAGTTTTTCCGCGCATTCATCCAATTCGAAACGTACCAATACCTGGATAAGTTGAAACCATTCGTCTATAAATGAAAAAGATATTATTAATTAAATATTCGGCCCAATAATTAAATCTGCTTAATAATGCCCTATTACTGTAACATTATTTATCATATATATTTACGAACACACCTTTATTTTTATACACAGTAGTAATAATCTGGTAAAGGACGTGTATTAAACCTAAATCTTCAAATTTACTGCCCTCCTTTAAACTTAAAAGTTTCCTCTCTTGTTTTCTACGATTTTTATTTGATCGGTAGCTTCTTCTAAAAAAAAAAAAGAAAAGATACATTTATATATATCTTATTTTATCAAAATTATGAAACTATAATAGAGAAGTATGTACCTGGAAGCTATAGAAGTCCGTGATTTTTTACTTGAAACAGAACCCGCAATGCTACTTGTTTCACTAAGGGAATCTATAATTTCTTTGCCGAATACCGATTCGTCATGACAAGTCGATTCGTCAAACGGTCGTGTTTGTCTCGCATTTATTTCTGTTCTTATTAATGCAAGACGTGACTTATGTCTGAGAAAATCCTCCTTACATTTATCCAATTGCAACATTACATGCTCTGCGTGTTCCATCACTGCAGGTATAATGTGTGTCTCTGTAAAAGTTATGATTCAAATATATATATGTATTTAAATTTTGAATTTTTGAAAATTATCTTTTACACAAATTACAAATTTTAAAAGTTTAATTTTATACAAGTTATAATTTATGTATTAGATATTAAGCTTACTCTTATTAATCACTAACCACGTAGATTTAGACGTTGTACATCATATGTTGTTCTTATGGCACGTTTCCAAATTTTTCCCTCGCACAATAATGCAACAGCTTCATCAACATCATTTAAGTAATCTTTTAGTATTGTAGCTGCAGCCTCAAAATTTCGCTCTGCTTTTAAACGCTTTACTAATAGTTCATAAAGATCATGTAAATCTCTAGAACTGAAGAAATTACTTTAATTTTGACATGGTATAAAGCAATGATTATTATTTTTATACGTACATTATTCTGCCATCAGCATTGATTGCATCAATGCTGATGGCAGAATAATGTACGTATAAAAATAAAAAATTTCTTACCTTAATTTCATTTCTCTCGATACCGCGATTGCATCCTGCCAACTGTCACCTAATGTACTAAATGCTTTTAAAGCTCTATCGAGATCGCCACTTTTATAAAACATCATACCGGCTTCTTGATATTTTGTTTTGCTCAGTAAAAATTCTCCATAAGCTCTAGCAATCTTTTTATACTCCATACTACCTTTCTTAAACAATTTCATTGCTTTTAAGTATAGTTTCTGATTATGTACTAAATTAAAGCATTCCTCAAATTTAGACGAATCTCTGGATATATGTTCGAGAGCTGATTCATAACGCTTAAGGTGCATATCAATGGAATACTTCATATAATCGTCATTTAGTTTTCTTAAACTATTTAAAAATGGAATATATTCCTTGGGATCTTTCGATGATTTAGAGGCTACAAACATTGTCATTTCGAAATCATACATACCTAATGCGGTATCGTATAAAATATCGATATTTACAAAATGTAACAAATATTTCAGTGCATCTTCGGCAGATGTGGGAGAAGGAAATTGTGTTGACTTTTGTGAATCCTCCAGAATCTTGACTTGTTTCACTTTACCAAGTGCTTTTTCTAATCCTTGTTTTTCATGATTTTTCACTAAGCTCACCAATATTGGTTGTATCAAATTAATCGCATTATGTCGTCTCTCCATAATATCTCTCAATAATTTACAAATCTCGTTTACTTTGTTAACTGTGGTTTCGTTATTCCCCGATGTTGCGTTTGATCGTACAGAACGGTTCGGATAACAATTCGCGTACATCGTGTTAGTAACGTCTTCATTTTGCAATTCTGATAGAAACAGGCTTAACCAATCTGGTTTCGCAATTTCTTCTACAAACTTTTCTGCGTTATCCATAAATAATCTCGGATCGTGATCGTACATTAAATTCAAGTTTATACGCTGTTTCCTCATTATATCAAACGCTGTTCGATAATTACAGTTGTCGAGATGAGATTTTAATATATGTAATGATAATGCCCTTGGTTCTATACATTCTAAATTTCCTCTCGGCATCTGCAAAATTGTCTTTGAATCTTGAGGTAGCGCTGCTATTATATAAGAATCTTTCTCCACTCGTCTGATATAGATATCTATAATGATACATTAAAAAATTAGAGAATGGACTAAAATATAGTATATATATATATATATATATATATATATATATATATATACATAAAATAAAATAAAAATTACAAGGATGTAGCAATTCACCTGTAAAAGATATCTCGTTACTGCCATTTTCCCAAGGCTTAACAGTTAAATCATGTTTACTTAACTGTTCTATGCCACTCTTGTTTAAGGGAACACAAATCAATGTGTGTTGCTGTGTTGTGAGAAGCAAGAAATCGGAATGTACATAAAAACTTGTAATGTTCTTAGCAATTTCCTTTCCATCAATCGAGAAACAATTTGTGCAAGACAGAGCAATGATAACATCTTTTGAGTCAATTTTTATAACTTCCACTTGATAACATAGCTCTCTTAAGAGTACATCTGTTGGAATAAGTTCTTCTACATTTTTGATATATTTGAATACAGTCCGATCTACTACTATGTAAGCCGTATCTGCATCGGGAGAAGGAATGATATATTCTATCGAATTATCTACGGCATAAAATTTCCTATAGAAAGAAATTTAAGTTCATGTATAGCCTCATTAGATATATACAATTTTATGTAGATCTTATGATATAATTCAAGAAAAAACTAAACTACGTACCGCCTCAGTAAAATATCATTTTCTTTAGAATGTATTTCATCTAGAGACAAAACGCACAAGAAATTATGTTTATCCATAGTTATAGAAAACAATATAACATCTTCTGCAAGCCATAAGAAATGATGTGTGGCATACACACATTTATCAATTTCTGTTATGTCTGAAATTAAACAATCAATATCGTATGACTGGAAAGCTTCGTATTCTATTGAAGAAGAATCCTATAAAATATATTAACAATAAATTATATATTGCGAGTAAATTTTATATATATTAGATTATATTATTATTTCGGTACGATAATTACTGTTATTTGTTTGAAAAGCGTCAATCTGTTATCACACGATATAGTGCAGAACATATTACTGTTTATCAAAGATGTATTATCATTGATGCTAGGAGCAAAGGCAATAGCATTTACTGATTCTTGAATCTGTAAAGATTGATGTGCCATTGGCGGTGGGACAATTCCGTCTCTGAAACCAGTAACTAGCGTTTTTTTTCCATCAATAACGGCAATCACGGTATTGTCGTCTACAGTTTTGCCTCGACTATGATTCACGCACCAATTAAAAGAGCAAAACATAATTTCTTTCAATGTCAGAAGAATTAGTTCTTTTTGATCGTATCTTCCTGTAGTGCTCCATGTTGCATATATCAGTGGGTTGTCTGTAGAGAAAACAATGGTCTGTTTGAGGTACCAATGACAATTATTCTCTGTCCATAATTGCAGTATCGTATGATTGGACATTCCTTCGCAAATAACAGCTAGAACATCTGAATTTGGTGACCAAAGTAAATCTTTCACCTGCAAAATATTCATTCAGAAAAAATTACACAAGGCAATCTTGAGAAATTACATCTTTCAATATTTAATGTACCTTTACTTCTCCTGGTGCAAACGAAAGCGGAAAATCCGTGTATTTAAGGCCATTTTTTTCAAATAGTGCAACTACATGTTTATTGGCCAATCTTTGGGTTGTGGCAATTAGATTTCCCAATGGATGCCAAGCCAAGCATTCTTCCAATCCGTTAGTTGGTTCGCTAGTGTAGCATAAGGTACCCTCTCGATCGAATACTTTAAACTGTCGAATTTTCGTTTGGATATGCAGGAAACTGATGGCAAATAGAGAACCGTCCCCGCGCCAAGTGATTCGAGGACGACCGTCATCCAATTCGTTTGCATTCAGTTCTTCTGCTTTAGCTTTAGCTGCTGCTTTTCCTACGGAACCATGAAACTGAGTCTCTTTTTTGCCCCAACCAACAGTAACAAATTGCTTCTCTCCAAAGTCTTTTGCATATAAATCTACCTATAACATTATACAGATGTTAGATAATTTCACAATTATAAAATTATATCAGCTATATACATTGTAACTTGTAATTTTATACATTAAGTAAAATTTAACAAACTTTGCAAAGATACAGAATACATTACCTCTGATAATACTTGAAAATCAGATACCATAGTGATCACAATTCCTTTACGTGTTACAACTGTAATGATCTCATTATCTGGACTAAGTTTCATACACTCTAAGTAATCGTCAAATGTGGTTACTTTTTGTATAAAACTGACTCGATCTGATATATCCAATCTGACAATAGCACCAGATTCATATGCGCAATACAACTCCTGCATCGTAATGCAATATTCAAATCCAACAACCTTGGAGTTTTCATATCCGGGTAAATTTATAATATTAGTAATATTACTGTTATCCTCCATTGATATTATATAGATTCGATTATTAAATAAAACGTATACACTGAGATCGTTTGGATCGATCGCACAATGTATACATTGCTCAGGTTCATGAACATTTTCCTCAGCATTATCTTTTATAAATTCGACGCTCCGGCGTCGTAGCTGATGAACCGCCAAGTTCCTCATGCTTTTCGACGGCGTCACACGTGCATCTAATTATGCTACAATCTTCAATCTAAAAAAATACATATTTTAACGATATAATTTACAACTCAAAAATTATAGAAAAACGTGAGATATTTTGTGAGACACGAAATACGTAAGAATCAATTTTGTATCATTTTATATACAACACGTGAAACTAACCTGTTCAAGGAATCACAGGTATGCGAGCTGATGCAAGAATAAAATGACCCGCCATGTTCCGAAATTGCCGAACTGCCAGTTTACTGCCAGCATTGAAAATATATAGGCCGGTATTCATAGGCCGGTATTCATAGTCCGATCTTATATTTGAGATCGTCTTAAGTTCGAGCTTGAAATGCTACGCAGCTATTTGATTGGTTGAATGAGGTCTTAAGTCAATCTCCAAGCAGACTTAAGACGATCTTAAATATAAGATCGGACTATGAATACCGGCCTTTCTTTCACTCTAAGGCCGGTATTCATAGTCCGATCTTATATTTGAGATCGTCTTAGGCCCATTCTACATTGAGTCGTAAATCGTAAGTCGTAGGCAAATTGACCAATCATGGTTGATTATTTCAAAAATAATCAACCATGATTGGTCAATTTGCCTACGACTTACGACTTACGATTCATTGTAGAATGGGCCTTAAGTTCGAGCTTGAAATGCTACGCAGCTATTTGATTGGTTGAATGAGGTCTTAAGTCAACCTCCAAGCAGACTTAAGACGATCTTAAATATAAGATCGGACTATGAATACCGGCCTAACTAATTGCACTAGTGCAGCAGTGCAGCTAAAAAGAACAGGCCAAGGCGAATCCACAACGCAAGATGACGTCATCGCCAGTAGTTCGCGTCCGCTCCGCGACGCGGCGCGCGAGCGGTCCGTTGCCGCACGGTAGTCTAGTATCCCGCGACTTCGTGGCCCTCGGTGGTGTCGGCGACGACGATCTCCGGACGACCGACGATTAAAAATAGCAGGCGGCAGGCGGTGACTGTCACGGTTCCGTGCGCCTCGCGAGATCGAACTTGACTCGCGCGCGAGTGGTAAGTCCGAGTGATCGACCGACTAATTGACCGCCGGACGGACGGACCGATCGACGGACTGACGGACGGACGGACGGACGAGCGATCAGCAGCGCCATCGGCAGCGCGATAAGATGAAGCGGCTGTGAAGAGGCCACCGCGACCAGGCAACCGACCAACCACCGTAGCCGCGCGACGCGAGGTTCACGCGGGTGGAAATTAAATTAGCGCTCCTCTGACCGAGTTTGTACGCCGCGGGTCACCCCGTGGATCCCACCGGCCGGTTTCCCCGAGTGTCGGCTGCCAGGCCGACGACAGCCGACGACGGCGGCGGTGGCGGTGGTGGCTGGCTAGTGCGAGCTAGCGCGGTAGATCGTGGTGGCGTTAACCGTTGGAGGATCGACGTCGACGAGAAGGAGACGGCCCGAGGCTTCTGGAAGAGCCGCGAGGAAAACTGCCAGGCTACTCGTACGAGAGAACGCGATTTACAGCGGATTTACAGAGAGAGAGAGAGATCGTACGTATCGCGGATACGTGTCGACCTGTACGATGCCAATGGTGCATCTCGCATCGCCGATAACGACCCGGAGAGCCCATCCTGCCCTCTGTCCCCGGATGAGTTCCGCGACTTCCTTTGTTTATGCGGATATCGCGGGTCTGTGTGCGCGCTCCGCTCTCGAGGGGAGAGAAAAAAAATTGCCAGTCAAAGATCCTATTCTGTTTTTTTTGCGTTCGTCTCGAATTTGTCGCCCGCCAAGGGATCCAAGGCCACCTCGAGACTCCGTCGACCAGCGAATCCATCTGCTGGGGTTCACACTTGGACCCGCACGAATATTCGCTTACGCGCGAAGCCGCGTGCGCGCGCGCGCGCGCACCTATCACACACGCGCGTGACGCGTGTCATATGTGTGTGTGTGTACGTGCTCGCTCGGTGCGGCAAACTGTCATCAGCGCTGTCAATTCACAGCCGATCGCCGTTCGTCCGTTCGCCCCGACGAATGAGTGTTTGAAAAAGAGATTATTGATCTCCGTCTCTTTCTCTCTCTTTTCACGATATATATTAAGGTATCCGAATATCCGGTTTATAGATCGCGATGCGAAATGACTGCACGGCGCGGCCATGCAGCATTGTGTTTTGTGTAGAAAGAAAGGGTGGGAGAAACGGAGAGAGAGAAAGAAAATTCTCGATGTGGTATGCGAGAGATGCTAACGATGTTGCTCGAGACGATTTTTTACGTCAACATGTCTATTCTCGTTTGCAGTTTAACACGAATGAGTCTGTAACAAAAAAAAGCAAGGTTGCATCTGTTAATGTGGCTATCTCTTTCTGGGCAGATTACACAAATATTTCGTTAAAGTATTAAAAATATACATAATATAAAATGTAATTCACACACACATTGTTACTATTTTCTATGAAAATCGAAATTTGTATCGTAAATTATATCGGAGAAAGAAAAGTGCTTTTTTGAATTATATGTGAATTGTTTAGATATTGATAATAGAAAAAAAAAATGGAATGCATTGTTTCATTGTTGATAATTTTTGCTAAAAATTTTCTAAAATTAAAAGTTTTTTATAAAACTTTTAAAAATGAAAGGGATGGCAAAGCACACATTTTAATTTTTTGACTTCAGACAAACTTTTCTGTAAGAGATGTTAATTTAAAAAATATTTTTGCCAAAACATTTTGTGTATTTTGTATGTTTTGTGTCAGTGTAAAGTTAATCTTTAATAAATTTGCATATTTTCTTCCACAGATTTTTGCATAAACAATGGCAGCGTTACCACGAAGGATCATTAAAGAAACTCAAAGATTAATGCAAGAACCAGTTCCTGGTATAAGTGCTGTACCAGACGATACAAATGCTAGGTATTTTCACGTAATAGTAACGGGACCTGAGGATTCGCCATTTGAAGGCGGACTGTTTAAGCTTGAATTGTTCCTACCTGAAGATTATCCAATGTCTGCACCTAAAGTTAGATTCATTACAAAAATATATCATCCAAATATAGACAGGTAAAGAGAAAAAAATCATAATATATTTATTTTAATTATCATTAATTATACAGATATACAAATTTTGTCTTCATTGAGTAATTTCTAACTATTCTAAAAATAATTTTATTTTTTATCCATTGCATGAATTGCAAAAACAAATAAGGTGTCTCTGATAAATATAAATTTTTCTCTTTAACAATAGACTATACAAATAATGAAAGTTGCTTATATATATTTATATATTAAAATTATAATGGTTGAAATAAGAGTGACAGAGACAAATAGTTTGTTTTCTTGAGATATATTGTTTAAAAAAAATGCAATTATATTCTATTTTATCTGCAGATTGGGCAGGATTTGTCTCGATATTCTCAAAGACAAGTGGAGTCCTGCACTTCAAATCAGAACAGTTTTGCTGTCTATACAGGCACTTTTAAGCGCGCCGAATCCCGATGATCCTTTGGCAAATGATGTAGCTGAACTTTGGAAAGTCAACGAAAGCGAGGCGATACGTAATGCCAAAGAATGGACTCGAAGATACGCTATGGACAACTGATCTCAGCCTTGTCAGATCGCCCACGACAAAGCAAAGCGACGTTATTCCTACCTTTCCCAGACTTTTGATCACCATACCCGCACCAATTGCGTATCCGGCACCTGTGTCCACAATTTTGCTATAAAAATAAAAGTTTTGTAAGAGTAAAACAGAATGGATATTTTCTATATTGTGGGGAAAATGCGAGGCACTGTTGAATTTATTCAGTCGTTCATTAAGGAATATCTTCGGAAATATCTTTCTACATTGAAATGTTGCAAATCTCTCTATAAGAGAGCAGGAACAAGTTTCCCTCTGTGAGAAGATGCGATGGGATATGTTACAGTATAATTTGAAATCTATAAATTTGAAATTGTATTAAGCAAAAATATGCTATATACAAATCTCATATTGCTACGAAATCTTTTGTGCAATTTATAATTTATCCTTTTTTTCTTTCTTATTCCTAATGTATATTATTTAAAAGAATTGAAAGATTTGTTATTTAATATACAGATTTTCTTCAAATTTTGTATATATTAACTGGTTATATAAGTATATTTCTCTCTCTCTTTGTCTAACATAGATTTAAATATTATTGAATAGAACATATTTAGAATAAAGAGAGAGAGAGAGAGGGAATGACACAAAATCGATATATAAAAGTAATGTAACTATTATTTATGACATGTCTTATAGATAATATATTAAAAAATTACAAACGTTTTTTTCAATCTATATAAACTTGAATTTCTAATTATTTTATATGAAGATATATACAATACTATGAAATTTGGATTTTATAGTATTTTAGTTTTTTTTAAATATAAAAAATTATATTCTAATACTTTTGGTTTTACTCAGAGAAGTTTAACTACATAAATGAATAGAAATCTTCCATTATTATGTTAGTACTAATTGCCAATTAACCACTTAATGTATAAATATAAGTAGAAAAAAAATCTTTGTGTATTTTACAATAATTAAATTCTACTTATTGAGATACGAGTACGCGTAATATAAAATCTGTGCACAGAGAAAATAAGAATTTCTATATATAAGATTAATTGTTTTATGAAGAATGCTTATATGAATGGTGTAAAATACATAGGAAAATATATGCATAAATACTTTCGATTTAATAATTAAAATTAGCAATTGTAATAATATGTGCAAAAGATATCTAAATTGATATATATTGCAAATAAATAAATAAATAGCAGAATAGTAGAACCATACAATATCTTCGTAACAAAATATGTGGCAAAGGAATAATATATATATTGATAGAAATCTATATTTAATATATTCTTGTCATATTGAATGCATTGGCTCAATAAAATATAAAAGTAATATCAGTTTAAAGTTTATATCTAATGCATTATATTGCGATAAATATGAATAAAAATATATAACCAGTTAGTATATCTTACGAAAAAGGAAGACTACCTTTTTTAACAATTATTTCAACAGGGAGATTTTGTAATTTAAGGACACGGGGATAGATTAAAATAATTGTAGATAATCTGCAATAATAAAGAGATTATTATTAAGAGTTTGGGATATATAGAATAATTATTGTATGCATTATTACATGTGTACCACTTACATGCAAAAGCTAATATGGCATAATTAATATGCATAAAACAATTAAGATCGAGAGAAATTTTAATGTAACATACGATTAATTTTTAATGTACATTTCATTACGTTCATCATCAATTAACTACGTTTTTATCTCACGAACATGTTAATATTTCTCTTTACTCGTTTACTTATATCATTCACGGAAATATTTTAACATACATTTCGATTGATTAAAAATAAATTTTTACTTTAGATAAGTTATTACGTTACTAAATTACATGGAAAAATTAATAATAAAGTACTAACAAAAAAATTATTAAAATTGATTTTTTTTTTAATAAAAACATTTATAGGCTTTTATATATATATATATATATATATATATATATATATATATATATGTGTGTGTGTGTGTGTGTGTGTGTGTGTGTGTGTGTGTGTGTGTGTGTAAATGATATAAATCTCATACTTTTATTGTAAAAAAAATGTATTGGTAAGAATTTTGATATACTTTTCATAAAAATATCAACATTAACTCATAAGCATTAATGCTATAAAATAATAAAAAAAAGCTCATTAGGACATTTTATGAGAGAAAGAGTAATTTTTTATCGGTGCTTTTCATGATATTAATAGTTTAGATTAATTTTAGATCGCTTCTATGAAATCGCTTACAATCTATATATATCTTACTGCTTCATGTGTCACGCGAATCAATATTTTGAAGAAATAAAACCTTTAACAGAAAGACAGAAAGGAAATCGGAAAAAATGTATTGTTTTCATCGACATATCATTGTGCAAGAAATCCAAAATATATATAAATACATAACTACGTTTAAACTTGAATTCAAAATTACATTTTATTGTATCTTAGTATGGACTAGCATATACCATATACACATTCAATATAGCTCACTTATAATTTATAACTTATTATACACTCACAAACATTGATAAAGACAGTCATGATATCTTGTAGCATGTTTCATGACTGGTGAAGCTACAGCGCAAGCTCTATATATAAGTATATATATACATATACATATACATGTACATATATATATATATATATATATATATATATGTATATAATATATATATACACACACATACGTGTGTAAGATATAATTATTTTTATTTATTACGAGAAAATGGCTGGTTTCAATTATTTCATAACGAGATTTTGGGAATTTTGTATCTGTCATTCGTACTGACTTTGCATGATCATTATTCATTATTTTATAAGGCTTAATGATATATAAAACACACATGCTTTGTTATCTCTCAACTAAATATATATCATAAATCAGGCATATATTATCCGCCATGCCTTCATTAAAGGACGACCATGATCGTACAAATATCGTACAATGCTTGGAAATAATTGCATGGCGAAACTCTTATTTAACAATTGTATAGATATACTTATTTAAATTTAAAGAGAAAACAAGTTTACTACACATCTCTTCTTACATTCGTTCATATATAATTCAACAATAGTTATAGAAAAGTTAGAAAAGGAAAAGATTGCATAGGAAAAAATTTAGATGAGTAGAGAATATCAACAGATAATATTAAACAAATTTAATACCACTTTATGCTTAAAAAATACTTTGATATAAGCCACACTTTAATAATTTATATACTCTTAAAGAACCAAAATAAGAAGTAAAACTTAAAATTTGGAAATAAAATATTATAATTTAATAATACATTATATTTCTAAAAAATAAACAAATAATGAATGGTCAGATTCACAGCATATAGGTTGTGGATATTATTATTAAAATGTGGCTAAACACATTCACACAGTCAGGGTGGCTTACGATGGCTGAGTATTAACTTATTATGTATGTATATATGTATACATATATATATATATATATATATATATATATACACATATTCATATATATACTTTTCTGTATTTATATTTATATATATATTCATCTTATTCTTAGCATAATGACTAGATAAGTTTCAGCCACCCAATATATAACATCTTGTGTTTGATCCCATATATTATAATCATATCTCTCTGTTGCTCATCGAATATATGGTTAAAATTTCTATGCCAAAATTCATTATCCTAGCATATATATGATCATGATTTATTCTAAATTTACTCTGATGATCTTTCGGCAAAGGATAAAAGACCTTTTGCATATTCATTTAAATATTTGCCGAGAAAGAATGAAGATCTTCTAGCCCACAATGATATATCGGTTCCTCATGATATGCAGTATCGTATAATATGCTTGGCTGTATCCTCTTCAATCAAGTAATCGAGAATTATCATATATATTTATACATACGTATATATTTCACGAGACATTTCTCACGTAACTATCCTCTCGAGGTTTTCCACGCGCAGCGTTGACTTGCATTGGTGTACATTACAACTATTCTCTTTTGTTCTTTTATACATTTTATGTATCAAGTATTATAGCAACGAAAAGAACTTTATATACATGCTTTCTTATCCATATCTACCTTCCAGTGAATTGTTCCGTACGAAATGTCGCATATATTTATGGCAAATTAGAGATCTCTGAAAATATATCAGTATAATCGAAGGAGAGAACTCTGATTTAAAAATTTAGATAATACAAAAACTCATATCTGTTATACATACATATATATATATATAAAATGGAAAAATGACCGTAACATGTTTTTAATCTTTCAAAAAATTAAATACTAATTTATTTATTAGAATATTAGTATTTTCTGTCGTGTGTTTGGATAAAAAAAAGTATGGCTTTTTTTACAATACACATATGTATTATGACACTATGTGAACACATAAATTCCATGACTTATATAGCATATTTAGTGATGAAGAATTCAGAACTTAGAAAATATAATGCACTTAAATTGATGAAAATATGTGTAATTAATACACCGGGTCGAAAAATTACTATCAAAACTGAAAATTATTTCCATTTTCAAAAAGAAGATGCAAACAATTTTTAGTTAATTTATTTTTGATATAAAGTTATAATACAGTTTAACATGATTTGCTTGTCTCGAAAAAGTCAATTTTTTTTATCTATGTTAAAAAATTAGACACTTTTTTACAAATAATTGCGCGTTCGCTTTGACTTATAACAAGTTCTGAACTCTATTTTTTAAATAGCCTATATCTTAATGATATCAGAAGTGAAGACAATACACAAGCTTGATTTTCTTGCAAATCAGAATATGCCATTTTCAAGTAGTCGCATACACATATTCACAGACAAAATCTGAATAATTTTTGTAAAAAATTATACATACTTTGCTGTTTTGTTTCACCTTACTACTTAATGTACTTTGGCATTGAAATTTTATCAGACATCAGGAATCTCAAAATTTGTATCATTGCACACTTCTTGATATTTGAAGCAGAATAGTTTGAAGGTGAGAAATCTTCAGCAAAAATAGATAAAACTTAGATTATTGTGGCATATAGTATTTATATAGAAGACGAATGCATTTTCTTTCGTTTTTTTCTTTATACCAGTATGAATTTGGCGAGAGTTGAGTTTTTGAAATGGATGATTGTACCTTATTGGGTAACACATAGAAGTCAGTCTGTATATTTTAGAAGAAATTTTCCATTGACAAAGTCAAGAATAGAGCTAGAATTCACTTTGTATGCCTATGCAATGAGAGAAGCTATATTAAATTGAATACAATTTACATATATTACATGTAACTATTATAGATGTTATATTGAAGTGAAGACTTACTGCAAGCTGATATGAATAAGATGCGCGTCTATATATATAAGCCTTTTTTTAATTATTACTATAATTATTTTTATGAATTGCGCTTTTCTGCAGATTCTTGCGAAAAATAAATGAATTGAAGGAAATTTTATTCTATAAAATTGAACATTACATTATCCATAATCGAAAGTTCATTAATAATAATGTATTTCTTGTTCATTTTTCATCAATTTTTCAGGAATTTGCAAAATAAGATTGCTTAAAATTATATTTACTTCTCAAATTGACGCGTCACGATAACGTGTCGAATTTTTGAAAGATATATAATAGGAAATAAAAAAATTGTCATAATTATTTATTTAAAAAGCTTATATCTTGAACTGTAATTAAAAATTCAGCGAACTTTAAGTCAACAATTCAATGAAGATATCGAGTTTTTATTTTAAAACGAGTGAGAGAGATTAATTAAAAAAGTTTCTAAAATATCAAAAGAGAGATAGATATAAAAAAAGAGAATGCAAAATTCAAAAATTTAGAAATCCCTATCCTAAAGTGTTTAAATTGAGTGAAATCTTATATCTATAAAATCTAGGATTCTTAAATACACAGCCATTTCTCAATATTTATCAATATATGATCAAAGAAGCAAATGATCAATGCAACTTATTGAAGACGAGATAATTTTTTACAATCTTGTAGTTTACTGCAATTGCGAAAAACAAAGACAAGTCATGTACTTTTCCGAAAAATGTATAACAACGTAATTATATGCTCATTAAGGAATTGTTACATTTACAGTAATTTTTGAAGTAAATAAAACTAGAGTTTTTTTTAATGTGTCCAATTTTTCGTGGACGGCAATCAGTTACGAGGATTATTATATGTATCAATGTATTTCAAATGTCGAAAAATAATAGGCGTTTTCCAGCAAGTGAAACAAAAGACAGTTACATTGCTTAACACAATAAAATGCTAAGTACAACCGTGTAAAATGTCCCAATGTTGTAAGAAATCTCATAGGTACTATTTAAATTGTGGCAACATCTTTGAAAATATAAGATAAAATATATAATATATAAAATAAAATATATAAAAAAATATGTAAAATTATCACTTCTCTTCAAAATAAATTGTAATTCTTTAAATTTGTTTACAAAAATCGTACAATATATCATAACCATGTTTTAACAATAGAGATCCTTTAATATATTATAAAGTCAAAACCGTCTTCTGAAGAGATTTTCAGAAATTAAACATACACTGATTGTTCCAACAAGAACTTTACACAGTGTTACACACTGTGTAATTTAGCGTGTCCTAGCTGGAAAACACCCAATATTATACAATGAATGTACTATGTTATAGTTTCGATACAGCCGAGTATTATAGAATAGAGATACATAGGCATACAAGATCCACTTGGTGGATCATTTTTTTCTCTTTTTCAATATAACACACAAATCACTTGCGAAAAATCACCTTAATATCTTGTAAAACGAATTACTCGTTAAGAAAAATCTTGCTTATTGCGCTCTTCTATATAATTACTATATCGTTATTTATTACGAGATTTACGCATCCCAAGTTTACTATGATAGATAATAATTTTAGTACAAATTAATTAACATCATTGGGCATCAAGCCGCAAATATTCGCCGGCCTTTTAAAGATAAAAAAGATTAAATAAAACATTTCAGCCCTTAAAGTATCTCCCACATGAGAGATAGAGAGGGAGATCCTTTTTATAAATATTACTATGTCATTAAACTACGTAATATACAGTTCCAGCCCTGCTCTAGCTGTTGGTAAAGAGCTTTGTGCTATTTATAATCATGTGCAACTGCATCACCTATCTTCCTTGGCGCGAATAATGCGATTCTCTGTAACACAGAGTATATGTTGTATACTAAAAATCTAAAAGAGAAATATTTTTCTATCGTCTTACTCGATTGTATAAGTCAAAATTATGACAATTTTGTCGCAATTTTTATATATATATATATATATATATATATATATATATATATAACATTCAGACATGTAATATGCGCCGATATTATGTATATAAGAAATATTGAAAAAGATATCTCTCTCGCTAAATTTCAGGAAAACATATTTATGTTATAGAGAATCTCATTCATTAGTACTATATATATATATCTTACGATAATCATATAAATTATGCTTGAGTAAATATTTAGTAACATTTCTGCGACGTACCTATGTAATCTTGTTTACTAAGCAGGAGCTGGTGAATGTATCGAATTGTCCCAATAAGAATCGAAACACAAAGCATAGATTTGCGTAGAATAATCTGTACAGTAAAAGTAGAGCGAATAGTGTACGGTAGTGGATGGCGGATGTATTGTCTGTTCACTACGCATCAGCCAGGCAACTGAACGCTTTTATATATACACCGGTGACTCCTGGCCGGTTAATAATCTAAACATCGACGTGGGCATCGTTTTCATCAAAATCTAGAAAAGAACAAGATATTTCGTAATTCTTTTTTTTTTTATCAAACAAAAATTATACACAACGTACAGTCGTTTTACATACCTCTCCCACTGATGTAGCCAGAAGATTAACAATCTTTTCATGCGGTACAGCGACAACGCTCTGATTATTGATCTCAATTATCCTATGACCGACTCGAACCCCACCCCGTTCGGCGATACCGCCTCTCAATAGACTACATATCACTCCGTTCTGTACACTAAATCCTAACTGATACTTTGTGTCGGGTCTCTTGATTTTCACTTCGACAACCGGTGCACACGGTACGACAGTTAGTTTAACAACTGTCTGATTCTTCGAGTTCTTTATGTAAGTCTGACACGTAGACAAAGGCAAGCCGACCAATGATACACCGTTAATTGCTATTATCTGATCACCAATATTAAGCTGTCCACAACGAGCAGCGGCACCAGCCGGAGCGAGATTTGCTATGACTACGGTTGGCAGCATCGAACCCCATCCAGATTCAACGATTACAACACCGAGGATCTCTCCCTTCGCTTTTGGTACCACTACCTGGAAGCGTAAAATATATTGTCATATCAAACTTGTTTTTTTTTTTACAAAATATAATATTGATTTCGCTATAATTATAAAATTTTGTTTGAATATTTATAAGTTATTTAAGGATAAATTGGAGCAAAATGATAACAATGCAGTCTCTCTATTTTAAGTCGTTAAAAAATATAAATTTTTAAAATAGAATTAGTAAAAAAAGAATGAAAGAATTTGAAAATTACTTCTTTCTGCATTTCTTTCTTTGCAAACATCTGCAACTCGTCGCCGAATATCTCTTGAGAATTGAGCACTTCTTGGTAATCCATTTCCTTAACGAAACTATGATCTTCTATCCCGTTCGCCTTTAGGAACTCCATGTAAGCTACTTGGAACGCTTGTCCGATACTTTGTGCTATAAATTGAGCTTCCTCACTTTCGAAAACGTGACAGATCATCTTCGGAGTACGATTAATTTTCGGTACTTCTTCCATTTCGTGCGGCACAAAGCGTCGTCGCGCCATTAATACCACCAGGTCGCCAATATCCGCGATGTATGAAATAGTGCGCAATGCGTGATCCATCATGATCTCTTTCAAATCGGTATTGAGAACCATAATTTTTTCTGTCGATATGAAGAGATCTACTTCCGTACTTGGCTGAGTGTCACCATCCGGTGCCTGAAAATAATATATTACAGCGTTATTTGTAGAAATATCTTAAATAATTTATATACATATATATATACATACATATATATATATATATATATATATATATATATATATATATATATGTTTTCACATACGAGAATATATATACGTACCAATGCCTATCGAGAGGAAGCAGCATGTGTAACAGAGTAGAGAGTAATTAATTATAAATTGTTCGAATACAATATATTATGTAACAGATTATAAACACATATACGCAGCGCGCTTAATAAAGTAAGTAAATAGTGCACTGTAGTGTAAACCGTATAAGCATAATCATTAACGACGCTATTACAAACCTGAGAGTTTGAGAGAAAGATATAGAGATAAACGATTATACAATCCCCCTAACTTTGGCGCAACATCTAACTTGCAAGAGATTTGGTCGCTATGATTTATAAAGATCGTGTGCATTGTGTGTAATACGCAGATAATGTGAGTTTTTAAGTAACTGAAAAGTGCAATTATACGGGGAATTGTTGTGAATCTTGGTCGAGTAAAGTAAAGTTCAATTCAAGAGACGAAAAGGCCGGTAAAACTTGATGCGCAGTGTCGGATTATAAATCAATAGGGGGATAAAACGCGGGCGGGGTTCGAACGACTGTTCTTTCAAGAGTCAAAGGACAGTCGGTCGCGGACATTACAGCAAGGAATAATTATCTTGGGACATGAAGGGCAATGAGGGCGGACCTTTATCTTTGTCACAGCCTCCTCCACCATGTGGTTCTTAAGGCGCTTACGCCGTTTACGTCCCCCTTCCTCTTCCACCTCCACCGACCCGAGAAATTGTAGTCTGAAAACGGTTGTGGGCCCCAAGCAGCCACTGATCGGGGCCAGTTTCGGCTGGTGGGCCCCAAGCGCGTGCGACTCGGACTGGCCCCCACCAGAAGCGCTCCCTATAAGTTCTTCGCTCGAGTCGCACTCGTCCTCCTCTAGGCTTCCTTGCGAGGCAATGCTGCAGCGACCATACCCATGCTGCCCCCCATAGTTTAAGAGCGTTGCCTGCATCGGCCCATCATCCTTCCGTTATGTACGCGCCAAACAAACAAACAAACAAAGGCTCTGCTAGTCACACCTTGCCACGCACCACCAACAGAACGAGAGGCAAAAAGCCAATAAGTTCATCAGTTCTCGAGTTGCTAACGTACGGCTTGTTTTTGTTTTTCTTTACTTCTCTCCTATGCACAGTGACTCATGCTTCTGTGTCCTCTATCTGTATCTATCGAGTCAAATCATTCACATATACATATAAATGCAGCAGAGCTCGATGGCGTGTACATACACTTTTGCGACCTTTATTATGCATTCATTTTACCCTCGAACAAGCGCATCACGGTGTCTAGAAGCTGTGCAACGTGCAAGCGTATGTTACAGGTAACGATAAGGTCGACGAATGAATACACGCGGCAATTGCAATTAACAAAACATATATAAAATATCGTTTATACATACATATAATTGGCTGTATCAATCTTTAGATGTTTATCTAGCAACTCCTAATTCGAAGCCTGAGCTCTGTTATCGCAAAAAACTAATCCAGTTTTTTCAATTAACATCGATTATACCGTATCGAAAAATCAAAGAGATATAAGCAATCGAGATAAGAATATAGAATTATCATTATCAAGATAAGAATATAAAGTTATCATTTTCGACGATAATAATTAATTTCAATTCAAAGTATGTCTTTTCAGAAGCGAATGCAGAGATCTAGATGCAAGCATAAGACAAGTTTCTTTGCCAGTGCTGATAAAAAGCATTAAATAAACATAAATTAATTATATGACTTTTAGAAAGCTTCATCATAATATAATAATAATGTGTATTAATCATTTGAGAGATAAATTTTTCATATAAACGTTTTAATCTTTGCATGTCCCTTTATTATTATACTATTGCATATATATAATGGAGCACAGAGTTCACAATCTTGCAATTAATAATAAATTGCCATGCATATACTATTAAAAGAAATGATTGACAATTTCTGTTCTCACCATCACTCAGACATTTTAAAAGAGTTAGAAATTATTTTCGAGAGAGCGTGCTCAATTATAAAAAGACATCATTTTCAGACACCTTAACTTCTGCACAGAGTGTAACTAAAATATTTTTACAATGATGAAAATTACAAAAACATTTTCATTTCTGGTCTACTCAACTATGTAACTATATTTTATATCATGTGATAAGATATCATAGAAAAATCTTTAATTATCTATATTTTTGTAAACTCTAATTAAACGAACGAAGGTACAACGCGTCGTTAATCTTATAGGATTACTGTCATAAAATAACATGGTATCGTTGTGTCAATATATATGTCTTTCAAATTCCAAGTTTATCTTCTTTCCCAACAGAAATTTGCTTAAGCTTTGCCTGTTATATTTTACACTTAAATTTCATTTCTAGTTTTTTTCTTCTCTATTGAGATGTTATAATGATTTATCTTCAATCTGAGGTAAAATATAAAAATGTATAGTTATTGAGTAGACCAATATCTTTCGCGAATACAGATTTCTTGTGCGTGAAATATATCGATCAAGAATCTACAGGAAAGCGGATATAGCAAGCGGATAGCAGAGAGAAATATATATATAAATATATATATATATATATATTCGCAAAGAGAGAGAGAGAGAAAGAAAGATTGACAGATACACAGAAATCACATCAAAGTTACACTGAGAAGATGACAGTGTTCGGTGGTCAGGTGGTGGTGGTGGTGGTGTTGGTGATGTGAGGAAGGGGGGCGCTACACTGAAACATTCAGGCCTTTTTGCACAACGGCCAGTTCACAGTTATATTAAGATTAATTGTATCAGATAGTCGAAATCAGCATTCAGATTCTTCTAAAAGGAGAAGCGTTTTAAGAGCGATGGCAACTTTTCGTGATCATCTCATAAAAAAATCATTTCATCATTATGCAAGGAAAAATAACACATATAATCTTGTGATATGTATCTAAATGCTGACGTTTAATTGCTTATGAGCAGAACCTAAGAGTAGGAGGAAAGAATTTACTGTTTCATACTGCTCGCTTAATACTGACAGTTTCTTTGGAAGATTGCTTAATCACAAATTATAAATTATAAAAACGTAAATTAAAAAAAAAGATAGCGCAGAGCTTATATCAGTTAAAATATGCAATGCCGAAAAACGGAAAATGTAGGTATTATAAACACGATCTGTGTATTATTTTGTAAGGATAATATCTCAGTAACTGTAAAACGTTGGAACACGCATCTACAAAATTAAAAAACTTACAAACGATGCGACTTAATGGACAGTGTGTACTCTTTCCTACAGAAAACTCTCAGGTTTAACTAATCATTTAAGATTCCAGCATTTTAACGATTTGAGGTAAATTAAGGATCTCAAAGCAATGGCAACTGAAATACTTGGCAAAGACACACTAGTTTAATGCGCGTAAATTTCTTAAAACATTTATATCATAATATTTTCTAACTATAGTTCTTCAATTTGCGTCTGCACATTAAAAAATATTGCAATCTTGAAAATCCTCAAAAAGTTAAAAATCTTAACATTGAAATACATATTATATTGCAGATGAGAATATTGCACTGTTGGTCACTACAAATTAAGTAGCAAATCAAAATAAAGCATTCAGAGCATGCTGCTAATTTTATCGTTATTATCATCATCGTTATTATTATTATTCGTAGTTTAATTCTAATAGGTTTTTGGAGAAACGATTTTACATTTTCTAAGAGATTTTTTTAATGCACGAGACTCTTTTGCTTTGACCGTCGCGTTAAAAAATTAATAATTAGACACAAATTAACAATTTCTAATCGATATATAAATTCTAATATATCTGTATTCGAGACTATAATATAATGCATCTTTCAAACTTAATGCTACTGATCTAAACAAAACACAACATATCATTTACTATACGTGGATGCATTACCTATCAGATATATCGCTCGATGCTTACTTAATTAGTAGTTACTCTGCTCTTTAGAACAAACATTATAGAAAAATAATGTACATATGTATAACTTTTAAGTAACTTATACATCACAATTAATATAACTCATTATGTACATACTCGATGATCTTTGTTTTTTTTTTCGACGTTTCACATATCTTTAGAAAAAATAAGTTATCTCATATATATATTCTTTATATATATATATATATATATATATATATATATATATATATATATAATTTACATACGAAATATTACGATTATGTTTTGTTATATTATATACACATATCTCTATATAAAATCCATATATAGATGTTCGTCTGTATATGTATGTGTGTGTACACACACACACACACACATAACTCTCGTAAATGTTATACAGAATATCCCATATAAGATTCTTATAAAACAAACAACTTTTTCTTTTGGCACAATTTTCGAAATTGTTCAAGATACTTATTTTTTTAATATGCCTGCAATATACTTATTATATCTTGTATAATATACTTATTATATCTTGACTCTTCGTGTCTAAGAGATTCTTTGTATAAAAATTTTTATAATTCCTTTATAATTAAATTTAACATTCATATTTTTATAATAAAAACACATAAGATTGAGATATTAAAAAATTAAATATCTCCAGCATAATGTTTCTGGAAAATGTGTCAAAGAAAACATGCTTATTTTTTTACAAGGAATATAATAATGTGTATCTCTGTGGGACATCCTATACAACATTAATTCACAAGGAAAGAAAAGTTTGAGATAATGAATGGAAAATAGAAAAGAATGCGTTCTCGCATATGTACCTTTATTCTGGAAACTGCTTCCTCCGCCTGACACATTCGAGTCGATTTCGTCGGTTGACCCTCGCATACCAATTGCGTGGATCCCAAATACCTTGCACGGAATAGGACACCTTCGATCAATACTGATGGATCGTCCAATAAATCTGAAAGCGCCACAGACACGAACCATTTAGTATTTTTCCCGTTTCTCTCGCAATTTATTCTGCCGAAAGTGATTAGGCGCTTGGAAGAACATTCAGGCAATTTAACAGAAGACATGGATATATCCAATATTATACTCTTTGATCCTTGATTATTCGACTCTTCAGTTAATATTAGATTCTTCATACTATGCGCGTAAAAAAGCGCATAAAAAGTTTGATATTTTACAATTTTCCGATTCTTGATAAAAATGGACCTTGAGCTTCTCACTTTTATTGTATTCACGCACACTTTTATTATATTTATCATATATCCACTTTTATTATATACTCATATATTGTGTCTAATTAAAAGGTGAATTTATTGTACACATGTAAGTGCGACAAATATACGCTTGAAATGCGAAGTCACTTTATATTCATTGAATATTACGTCTCGTAAAAGCTTATAAACACTTATGTGAGCAAGGTTTTGAAATTATCTACTTCTTCACCAGACTCCCCACTTAAGACACTTTAGGTGAGAAAAGGCCAAGCATAAAAAAGATCATAACTTCCGAATCCTTGATAATAAAACTTTCGAATAGTGCTTATCAATACAGTTGCCGATCTTATCAAGAAACACAAATAAAATGTAATTCTTTCATCTGAGCGTACTTCTCAAGTCTACGAGCAATATTTACAGATATTTACTTATGTACACGAAGATAGTTTCATCAAAATATATATCATGCATATGAGATATTATTAGATATGAATAGGTTGAAGACCTTGAATTAAAGCAAAAGGTGTAAGTGTAAAAGTGTTAAGATATTATATATATATAAATATATATATATATATATATATATATATATATATAATTAATAATAATAATAATAAATTATGTTAAACAAAAGTTTATTAATAGCAATAATAAAATATAATTAAATATTTTAGTTTTTTTTGTTTCAAAATATATACAGATATAAAACAAATACCTACCATACAAGAGTAATTAGAAGATCCAAGTTTATACATAAATGCATGCAAAAGAAAGAAATATTATATTAGTATCATAATTATTAATATTCGTAATAATTAGAAAGTCGTTACAGAGTATTGGAAAAAGAATTGTATTAATAACAATATATGACAGTACCTTCCTTATTTCTACTCTTCTTTTTTCCTTCCTTATCCTGAAAACAAAATAATTATAATGCATTTTTGCATGATAATACAAATAAGACTTTGATAGCTATAGTGACAAATTTTATAGATATATAATATATATAATCATTTAAGCAATAGAATATAAATATATATATATATATATATATATATATATATATATGTGTGTGTGTATGTTAATCATGCAATAACTGTTACATAATAAAGGCAATAAATATAATACGTTAACACGTTCATATTTATTATAAATAAAAATTATTCATTATGAATAAAACTATAAATGAATTATAAATGAATTATGAAATAGAAAAAGCAATAGTAATGGTATTAGTAATAGTAGTTAACTGAGCACTAAACATCATTGACTTTCATTCTTTTCCAATTGATTCCAATTGATTTTATAAATCAATTAAAAGAATTACTTTGTTTCTCATAAAGCATAGAAAAAAATTATATAAAGTATTTCATTATTATTGTATTTTATTTGTCAAGAAAAGATTATTCAATATGCTATTTCTATAAAGACGGGATTGAGGCTATTTCTGTTGTAAATCAAAAGAAGCATAATAAGCGGAAGCTGCGAAAAAAAGATAAAACAATCAGATAACAAAAAAAAATACCCTCTCTTTTGAAAAAAATCAGCTTAAATATTTTTATCAATTATTTATCAAGTATTATTAAATATATTTAATTTTTTTATTATTATATAAAAGATTATCTTTTCATTTACTAAAATGTGTATATTATCAATAATATTTTAATAGCTATCAATCGTACCTATGTATTATCACACTAAATAACGTACTTAAAAGATTGACATGTGACATAAATTATATTTAAGCTGATTAGAATATGTATCTCATTTAGCAACAGAAAGATAGCACATCGTCATGCACCAATATTTCATCACAAAGAGCACCTAGAGAGATATAGATATCTACAATCTTTAAGTAAGAACAAATATTCCGTGTTAGCATTTGAAAGGGCACCTTTTTCACCTTGTTGTTGGATTCCTTGAGACTCTGAGGGGATGAAGGGGAGTTTTTGACTGGGGTCTTCTGCGGACTCGACGTGGGTTGCGCGGGAGTGGCTACTTCGCACTCGTTAGAAGACGACGATTGTATAACGGATACTACGGGAGGTGGGGAGATCGAGGTAGACGTCGAGGGTACGGGCTCGGAAGGTGCTAGCGTTTCTATTGGGGCGACACTCAAGGTTTTGGGAGGGGTTTGCTTTGGTGTTGCGACTTTCGCATTCATTGGCGGTAACATTGTCCTAGTTTTAGGCTTCCTCCACCCCTGTGTAACACCAAGACGATATTAATTGAACACCAATACCAATTAGATAGCACAAAATATACAGGAAATGCACGTTATTCGTATCCTTTTTCGCCTAAATTTAAATGCATCGCCATCACCTCGACATTACCTATTAGGAGAAGTTTCAGTGTACGCATATATTGTTATAAATGTGCGTTATAATTGTTGTTTAATAAAAAGGTTATAAAAGTCTAATGAGTCAAAGAAGGATGTTTTTTAACATTATGTAAAATTTATTTAAATGACTAGATGAATAAAGTGTTTCTTTTTTATTAAAAAATATATATTTTTATATTAAAAACAAAATTAAAATAAAAAATTACTGAAAATATTAAAATAAAAGAATAATAATGCATTCTAAATAATCGTGCAAGAATCTGCATATTGAAAAATATATATTTATTTTAAATATTTATATATATATATATATATATATATATATATATATATATGTAGATTCTTGTAGGATTATTTAGACCGGATTATTGTTCTTTTGTTTTAATATTTTCAGTAATTTTTAGCAATTTTTGTTTGAAAAAAATTTTTACATATTGTTAAAAAATATACCATTTTTCGATTTGCATTAGACTCCTAAATCTCTTAAGCATTAGAAAAAAGAGAAATCCATTGATATAACAATAATTAATAAAAGCGATACGCAATAAAATGAGATTGCATACAATCAAATATTATGTGCCCACCTTATCATCATAAAATCCTTGATCATCCGTCCTTTGTTGTCCGAGCAATCGATCTGTTTCGAGATCGGTATCTGCTTCCTCTTCATCCGGACATTCCTCGATCTCCACATCGGCTTCATCGCCTATGCGACGCGCATCGGATTCTTCGCTATTATTTTCCATGCAGATTCTCCGCCTGTCGTCCATTATACTGCATCTTAGTTAGATGCGTTTAATGCGCGAAATAATGAGATATCCCAAAGGGTATCTCAAACGAACATATTTAGCGTCGTAAAAGGGAGGGACATTTTAGCAAGCAAGAATACCGAAGCGAAATATCGGACAGATTGGACAACACAATTGGAATATCTTTTTTCCGTATAAAACAAAACGTAAGATACCTTGGTATCCATATCGGACTGACGCTCGGTTCCGGTGGATCTTCGGACGGAGATTTCACAGGGAGAGTTTTAGTCCTTTGCAGTGCCATTCTGATGTCTTTGATGGCCGCTTCCACTTCGCCACAGTTTACCTCCAAGGTTACGCTTTGTCGTCCCTGAGGTGCCGGCGGCGGTGGCGTGCCCAGTGGATCCAATCCATCGAGCTGCAACTCGTTTGTATCGTATGAATTCTCCTTTTTCGCGATAAATAGATCGGGGGACGATGAAGTCTTCAACGTGTGTAAAATATCCTTTGTTACATTCAGACCAACATCTTTCCCGGAGTCGTTCTCGTTCATGCCTAACATGTCGTTACGAGTTCTTTGAATAATTTCTTTTTCTATTTCGTTTATCTGTCGTTTCATGAGCATCACAGTAGGATTATTGTTATCAGTATCGCTCGCATGACCGCTGGACAGACCGTCTTCCAATACTGGCATGCTAGTGTATATTCTCAGAGAATCCGAGTTATTCCCCAAATCGCCGACCGATCCGAGAAGGCCACTTGCTGGCATTAATTCGTTATCCATCATCATGAGAGACACCTCGCTGTCCAAATCTCCGCAATTGCTATCGCAATCGGTTGTCTCAGGGCTCAGCGTGAAATTACGTGAGTGTCCTACTTGCAAACCGACCTCGGTCTCTCCAAGATCTTCACTGCTACCAGTACCTACTGAGAGGTCTAGAAAATTGTTTTCGTGCTCACCTGTCTAAAAAAAGCAAAACAAAATTCAGTTGTATGTTTATCCCAAAGTGTGATTCGCGTTTCAAATATTTAGTAAAGTTCACAAATGACGTGTATACAAGAACTATTCATATATATAAATACAGATTTATATTTAGAATTCAACTGACAGAAATATAATTTCAAAACATTAGGGCTTAATGCTGGCATTTTAAAGTTATACAACACACTATTTGCATATATTTGTATTCATTATTTATATTTATTGTTTTATTTGTATTCATTATTTATATTTATTGTTTATTACGCGCAAATTTCTAATATAAATAAATATTATTAATTTCATGCAAAATTTTAACATGATAGAAGAGAAAAGAAGCAACTTAATAAATTTTGCAACAAGAGGAAAAGAAATAAACCTCAAGGTAATATTTCTTATTTTATATCTTTATGCTTACATTTTGGGGAAATTCTGTCCGTTGCTTTTTAGGAGATTCATGTACCATAACCTCCTCTGTTACTGGTGGACCACTAGCTAATCGCTGACCAACATATGCACTTCCTCCTTGCCTTCGTAATTCATAATCAAGATCCTTGTGTGTGACGAAAAATAATTACTTATATTGAAAAATTGTATGCATTTTAATACATTTCTATATTTTTGATTATAAATTACTTGATAGAAATTCTTGCATATATTTTTTTCAGTTATCTTCTTGACATAGAAATTTAATAAGTATAAGTAAATATTTGTAAACTTTTATTTTAACAAAACTTACTTGAAAAGGAAAGGATTCTATATTGTTTTCCTTTTCTTTCGTTGGTGCCGGACATTTGAAGAATTCTTCTAGTACTTTTCGCGTTTCAGAAAATTCATATAGATAGTCGAAGGTACTACCTCCTGGCGTGACAAGACTGCTTATATTATCAGCAGGTAAAGTCGATGGTTTTAAAGAATCCTCTTCTTCTTCTTCCGCCTTTGGTGATGGAGTTGAAGGATCAACAGGCTGATCTTCAATGCTAGTATTTTCTATCACAGTCTTATCTATAACAATTTCTCCAGAAGTATCTTCCTTCTAGGGAGAAGAGAGAAAATCGATAGATTAAACAAATTCCAGCTAATTATATATACAATATTTATATATACAATATTTTGATAATATATATTTTTTACTTCATTGTGATTTGGTGTTGTTGGTAATACTCTTTGTGGAAAACCAGGTCTTGGTGTCATATACATTGAAGGCGACGATAATAAGCTAGGAAGTTGTGTATTTTCGCGAACTCCATAACGCCTCGGGCTACCAGAATATTGAGCAATTGGTAATTCACCAATGACTCTCGCAACTTTATGGTTACGTTCCGGAGATGGGGAATCTGCCTCGCAATCGCTCGCCGGAGTAACAACCTGCAAAAGTTGAAACGCAAAAGATTTGTAAAAATCCTTCAGTTATATATACAATTATATCGCATATTACTTTGAAAAATTCTGAAGTATTGCGGTGATATGCTGTCGTAGGACTAGGAGTACTTCCAACACTAGAACTCGGTGGTTCCGGTGCGATACGACCTCTTTGAGAATCGTCCGTCTCCAAGTCCACACTCGTTGCCGTAATTTGGTTCGTATTGCTCGACGCCAAATCTAATCGTAGCCCTTGCCAGTTGTCATCGATATCGTCGAAAACCACAACTTCACCATCGCTGACAATTGCCATACTTCTCGCAGGTGTGTTGTGATTTGATTGATAATCTATGCAACTCTTTGGTAATCCATAGTCCAAATCAGTAATACTTTTTGGTATGGTATATTCTACATTATTGCTATTCAAAATCGAATCGTAATTAATTATACGATTGCTACGGTTGCTCTTAGGTGAGTCGTAATCCAAAATGGATTTTGCAGCGTTGCGTCGCACAGAATGTACCTCAGAGGCAAACACAGTTTCTGTCACTTCTCGATTTGCACGTTGCTTTCTAGTTTCACCACATCTGAAAACTCATAACAATTAGTAATAGTAATTACGCAGAGATAGAAAACTTTTAATGTAATGTAATGTAGAATTAGTTTTCATCTAAAAACTTTTACAGCTACTTTATTGGAGGAAATTTAATTACCGGCTTCGTAGTTCCCATATGGTCTGTGTGCTTGGGGACTTGTTATTCTTTTTAACAGACAACTTATTATCAGTTTGAATGTCTTCGTTATTTATAGAATTTGATGCAGCCAGAAATCTTGATTTTCTAGCTGCTACCTTTCCTCGGCTTTGTGAGAATACTTCTCGACCACCAGCAATTTCTATAATTCTGTAGGACAATACAAGAGTTGTTACATATGTTTGAAATCGTTTCTATGATTCTATAGAACAATAGAGAGTTACATTTTCCTAGAATCTCATCTTACATAAATTTAATACATATGTTACTCTGTAATATTCGTATGTAAGTTTAATATTATACTCTTATAGAAATTATTTATTTTGAAAATGGAGACACAGAGCAGAAATATTGAAAAAGATTTCGGCCTTTCGAATCTAGCGTAGCTCAAAATTTATCCAATATCATTTTCAAAGTAGGTAGCTTATACACTTATACTTTGTATAAAAAAACATTTTACATAAATTCATTTATATTGGATCGATAGAACTACAACTTTGTGATACGGCGAGTTATAAATCTCGATGAGAGTTATAAATCTTGAAGGAAATCAACGAAGACGATGTTTGCGCAACGTATCACATTTCCAATGAGAATAAATTCCGTCTTATCGCGTAACAAGATAGCGAGCTCAGGCGCGAATAAAACTGCGAGTGACAGGCGAGTTAACCCCCAAAATTGACGCGTGGGACCCCATACAAATTCACGCACCGTTCGTCTTTAATGCCTCCCGTCGATGCGAAAACATCTTTACGCGCGTGCGATTCATCGACCTTCGAGCCTTGGACGGACCTGGAATGCTTTATTGAAAAATATTCATCGAGCCAACCGACAGACAGCCACGACGGCGAGACGTGTATCCGCGAGAAAATTCGGCGCGACTTTTAAGCCTAAGTAATTCCCGTGGCGTCCATCTGGACGCGCTCCCGTCGTCTTTCAAGGCGGGAGAAGCCCCGATCTTATCAAAGACTCTTCAAAACATGGACCTCTCGCGCCTTCCCTCTTATTTCCATGAAAATGTTTATGTTAGAATTTTTGCATTCGTTATATTTCATGCTATCTAAAAATGCATTTCTTAATCTGACAAAGGCCGGGAATTATCAAGATTGCGGCACTCATTCCCAATCTTATCTCGTCGATTTGTAAAACCAAGATCGAACGGAGCAATGCCGCATTGAAATTCAATAACTTCTTCCTACATCCCGGATTGTGCAGTGAATCTGAAATATTTGAGATGGAAATATATTTCAAATTCTACTATGACAATACAGGCGGTGTAAAATATAACTCGTACAAATTTAAATACAAAAACAATCGATCACTCTGGATATTCCGATCGTACCGAAGAATTAAACTAGATTTATGCATATTGATTTTTTTTTAATCATATATCTCTTTGAAATTATCGAATTTTTCGTCTGGCCATATTCATTCTACCAAAAATGTATTTTTCAATCTGCGACTGACAGAGACTTTACCAGGAAATTATTAAACCATCGCTTCATCTATTCCTGACTTTATCTCATTGATTTGTAAAACCAAGATCGAACGAGATAATATCGCATTGAAATTCAATAGCTTCTTCCTATGTTCCAGATTATAAATTGCAATAAATTTAAGATATTTGAGATGGGAATATGAATTTCTCAAATTCTGCTAGACAGACACAGATTTGTGTAAAAAAATATAAATAACTCAGTAGTTTAGATACAATCGATCGCTTAAGATACTCCAAATGTATAGAAGAATTAGAATTTATTTAGTATATTGTGATGTCTTTTAATTGGAAAAATCTCTTGGAAATTATCTAATTCAAAGTATACTGTACTAACAAGTTTTCATCTTATCATTCGTGCCCCATTAAAAAATGCACCTCTCAAATGTGACAGAGGTCGAGATCTAACGGAATTATCAAGCGATTGCTTTACCCACTTTCAATCTTATCTCCTTGATTCGTAAAACCAAAATCGAATAAAGCAATGCCGCATTGAAATTCAATAACTTCCTCTCACATCCCGGATTTTGTAGTGAATGCATGATATTTGAGATGGAAATATAAATCTCAAATGCTAAGACACAGACTGTGTAAAATATAATATTCATATAAGTTTAAATACAAAGCAAGCCGATTGCTTCGATCGTGCGAAGAGTCGCGTGGAAAATTTATTTTGTATTGTGATTATTTTTAATCAGATATCTCTTCGAAATTATTGAGCATCCACTCTCGGTTTATGCTTGAGCAAATCTAGATCGAACGTCGAATGGCTGAAAATAAACAGTAGATATCTATACATATTTGCACATTTACTTACTGATATGTCGATAAGCGCCAATCAATTAACGATTAATATAATGATAGCCCAAGTGGAATAATTTCTCATGACTTTTATTCGTGACAATTTTCAAAATACTTTTATTTGAAACGATGAAAGTGCAACGCTCTAAAACTGTTAAACTCAATTTTTAGGAAATTTTTTAATGGATAAACCGCAATCAAATCATCTTCGTTTCATAAGCTTTGTTTCATAATAGCTTTGTTTTACGGAGGAATAAAATTTGAAAGGATGTATTGTACATATTGTCATCACATAAATGTCAGATTGGTCGCTCTTAAGTCACGATTATTCTAGCTATTCCTGAAGAAGAGATGCACGTGTGGCTTTTGAAAGCACGTGAAGAGTCGCGCGATGTTATCAAGGACGACGAAAACGTTTCCGTTGAGCGAAATCTCTCGCATGTAGAAAGAAAAAGTAGAAAAATGTTTACTACGGACGAATTATACTGCTGCGAGCATATTGACTCGTTTGCTGTATATCGGACGACTCGCATGACATATTAAAGGTAGCGATGTAGAGAGAGAAGCTGATATTTGAATGACATTTCCTCTCCCGAGTATTAAGCTTGAAATTAACGCCCCGTTGAATATACACAGACAACTGTGTCAGGTTGTGAAACCTGTGGAGTTGTATCGGCTATGAAAACTGGACGCTCGTGTGTCCACGCGCGTAATGTGTTATAGATACATAAAGATCCAAACGTCACACAAATGGACTTTCATCGTCGATGAATGTTCCCGTCCTATAAACGTGCAATCCGCTCGAATTTAATACCGCCAGTAGAAAACGTAATACATTTTTGCGTGTACACAGGTGATCGTATATCACGACTTTACAGCCTGTATTGATTTTTATGCAATTTAGCCGTTCGACTCAATATTCTCTTCGACTCGCACCCTCTAATTAACTTTAATTTCTATTTTAACTCGCTTCTGCTTTACATATTAAAATTGTGTGACCTATTTCAAACTTTTATCAATAGCTCGTTATTATTTGTACATATTATATATTATATATTATATTATATATTGTATTATATTATATATATTATATTTATTATATATATTATATATATTATATATATATATATATATTATATATATTATATATATGTATATGTATATAATAATTTATATACATAATATTACTTCTATAATAATATTAATATATTTCTTACGTTATCTAAATTTTTTAAGAGGAAAAATTAAGCAAATATTTAGAAATTACAAACATTAATCGTGTATTTTATTTTGCAACAATTAAGTATTTTTCAAATTAAAAAATACTTTCTTGAAAAAAATTAAAATTTTTTTTTTGTGTATTAATTTTTCTTGCATTATAGCAAAACATTTTTAGAGTTTATATACATATAATGATTAATTCAATTTTTCATATTTGACAATTTTCATAAACAATAATATAATAATATACTAATCGTAGAAACTGTAAAGATATAAAGTAACTTTTTTAGTAGTAGTGTTTAAAATCACACAAAGATAATTTTCATTAAAACCTTAAATGCATGATTTATATTCATAATTAATTTAAAAAAGAGAAAAATTTTAATCGTAGAAAAATTCTTCAGTAATTAAAATCTTGGGCAAATTTTTAAAATCACATTCTACAGTAATTTTTAAATTTAAATTTAATTAAATTTAACTTTAATTTATCTTAGGTCTATCAAAGTGAAGAGATTGCTATATTCATATACAAAATAACTTTTCGTTGAGTAAATACATAAATAAGTAAATTGACGAATCAGTACTTTCTTAGAAATCTAATTAAATTAATAAAAAAAAAGAAAATTTTAATCGTAGAAAAATTCTCCAATAATTAAGAGAGACCCAAGATCTTGGTCAAATTTTTGAAATCACATTCTACAATAACTTTAATTTATCTCAGATCTATTAAAGTAGAAAGATTATTCATATATAAAGTATCTTTTCGTTGAATAAATACATAAATGAGTAAATTGACGAAAGTCAATACTTTCTTATAAATCTAATTAAATCTCTGCAGGATATCCGTTACCTCGAATCCCGAAGCTTATAGCTGGGGCCTCCCTTCGCCGAGGTGAGGATGTACACGGGACTCTCCTCCGGCCCGCTGTCATCCTGCTGCGATTGTCCCTGATGATCGCTACCCGGCAGACTCCCATATTGCGGCGCATCCTCGCTGCGTCCCGACGCCGAGGACGAGCTTGACGAAAGCGGCTTCGTGGCGTGCGGCAGCTGGCCCTCGACCGTGAAACCGGGCACCACGCTCGCCGTCCTACGGGACAGCGAACCTGATTTTTTTCTGCCATTCGCTCGTTTCCTATACCTACGAACGTAACTTGGCACGTTTAACAATCGGCAACCGGTGTTAAAAGAAATATAACTTTTATAGAAAATAATTACACATTATTAACAAAAATTTTTGGGCTATGCGGTGAAAATAACGTGCGTATTGTCATCATAATTAAGGAATGTGAATGAGCACGGCTATGATGTAATTTCACCTCTTGAAAAATTATCCGAATGCGGAGTTGTATTAATGGGAATTTTATGTGAATTTTACTACTCTCAAAAAACCAACGTATATTCGCCAAATTTAATTATTCTTTTACATTCCGCTCATAATGTGCAGCTTTTTATCTTCATTCCGCACGTCTGTTCCATTTTAGTTCCTCAATTAAGTAATTAGCTACCCACATTACACCACGTGTCATGTTAAGCAAAATAATAGAGAAATGAGTGACAATAAAACTCTTTCACATACGCATCCTCTTACATCTATAATAACATCGTTCATTATAAAAATAAAATCATTAAAAATAATAATAGAAAAACCGCTGGAAACTAGTTGCGTAATCATTTCACGATCTCCATTAAACTCTTTCTACCTCTGTTAAGAATATATCCTTAAAATACGAAATCGAGAGGCAAAAGAGACACACTCTGCGTATTTCGGAATCGTCCGGATCTGAATCATCGAGAGAAGGAAGGTACGTCGTTCTCCTCGCAGTTCTTTAGAGACATCCTGAATTAACCCGATCCTGCGCTTCGTCCAGTAAGTGGGTTTAACTTGCCTGTCGGAGATGTCACGCTCGAGGTCGATCATGTCGTCCGATATCGCGGAGACGCTCGTCGACGTGGAGGCGATGGTGACAGCGGCGGCGGCGGCGGCTGTTGCGGTTGTCGCGGCGGTGGCGGTGATGATAGCGGCGGCCTCCGTCTGGCAGGGGCTGTCATGCGGCTGCTGGCTGCTCTGCGTGGAGGCCCCCGGGGGTGGGCCGCCCCTAGGCCGGCATTTCGGAAAGAGTCGGTTCAAGTCGGCGTTCTCCAAGATCAGGCTTGTCATCGCCACGGCGCGTTCATGTCTCGCAGCAGGATGTCCATTCTAACTACGGACATAGAGAAGAATGTGTTAAATAGCCAGAAACTTTTGTCACGCAATATTACACTGTCACCGAGTAATTTTCAACTGGACGGAAATTCTTCTTTTAACGTCTCGCGTTTCTATACGAGTTTGTTCCCTGTCACCTGTATTACATGAAATGATACGCGTGTGATAAGTTTCCTTCTCTGGAGACTGAATGATATTTTCTCAAAGTGATATCTTGCGTGATACGCGAGTATCTCCTTAATCTGTGATCCATTGATAAAAAGGTTTAGATAAATTGTGTTTTATAAAAATAATATATGATATAAATTTGTCTTAGTTTATTTTAGCTAGATTTATCAATGTACAATTTTGGAAATAAAAAAAAATATATATATATACATTTTTAATCTATCAATTTTTTTTAAAAATACATCTTGAGTGGAGTCGCAATATCTAATTAGAACAGATCTGAAATAAATCTGCACTCTATTTACGTCATTCAGCTCATATCTTAAAATATACATCGCACCATTTGCGTATAATTGTGCAAAAACGAACTTACTTAAATAAATGTTTCCGAAATTAAGAAAAATACGATTTAGTGGCGCATAAAGTTTTATCTTGTTGCAATGTTTTGCTCGAAATTGTTTTACCACTATATTATTGTAAATAAATAAACAAATACTTTTAAAACATCAAACTTTCAGTAAATAGGAGTAATCAATAAATATAAAAATCAATATATATAACTAAAATAATCCAAATAATTCATATTCGTATTTATTTCTCAATTTCTGCAGTGAACCTTGATCGATGCAATTAATAAAAGATTAAGAGATGTTGTATTCGAGATTGAATTTGATACACTCCAAGTAAAATATATAAAAATCTTGCTGCTTTGTTCGTTTTCATCTGATCTCGCTCTAACGACTCTTTAATAACCTTGCAAATCATGATATTTATAATATATACGCTGTGATGTATAATATATATGATTTATTCTGTTTGAGAAATATCTCCCGGGTAAAGAAGAATTGCTTTCGAATAATCTAAAGGGGTCATCGTCGGGATGTGCATCGCCGTTATTTCGAGCCTCGCTCTCTTATGTGTACGGATGAAAAATCTCGCTCTCTTCCGTTTGCTCTAACGAGGTCGTAGTCGCGCTAAAATAACGTTCTTGCCGTTCAACCGCGACCGCCACTCGTGTCCGCGACACTGCGAAAGTGTTATACTACATACGCCATCGTGTTCGCAGGGGTTGGGCGGGGTTGACTGGGGGTGAGGAGGTGAGGTCAAGTCAGTGGTGTACACGAGAGCATGCAGACACCGTCATACATTCCAACACGAGTCGTTGAATAAATCGACTACTTTCTTACGCTTCGCGCTCAAAGTTATCGAGATAAACTACCGAGTTTACGAGATGTTACGACACATATTGTCATGTAAAAGATTATCGCGACAAATATCGATATCAATTTTTAGAAATTAAAAGAAATTAATATATCACTGAAAAAGCGCGGACAAGTGTCCATAGGCTTATGGCCTAAAATTGTCTCAACTCGAAATTGAACTTTATTTTTCAGATTAAGATCAACTTTATGACACGATAACGAATATGTTAATTTCCAGATGGATCGAATTGTTGTTTAATTTTCATATTTATAAAAATTTTAATTTTTATCCTTATAAAAAATACTTATTTTGCCGGCCACTTTCTCTGGGACGATAATTCATCATAAACTTTAGTTTAAGTCAAAAATGAAGTTCAATCTTGAGTTGAGAAAATTTTGAGCAATAGCTCACACTCTTTTTGGGATGAATCAAAATTTAGAAAATTAATTCTTTATATAAAATATATACAGGGTGTCCCAGTTATCTTCCGTCATCTTTCAAAGACAGATTCCTGGGATCATCTTGAAATGATCGTCTTGAAATGATCCCAGGAATCTGTCTTTGAAAGATGACGGAAGATAACTGGGACACCCTGTATATGAGATCGAATTATAAAATTATTCGCAAGAAACTTTAAAGGGTTATCGTTCCTTAAGCATAGAAAATATTGAAAATGCGATAAATTATCATGAAAGTTATTAATAATATTAATAATATTAATTGTAAAATATTTTCTTCTTTATCAATGATGTTATAATATATTAAATTTCTTGCAAAAATATTTACACACACACTTATCTTTAATAATCTATTTGATTTTATTTTACAACAAATATTAAAAAATCTTGCTATTTTTTTCTTTCATATTTATTATCCGAGGATGTTTGCATTCTATAAAAATACTAGTCAAAGGAAGAATTTTCGAAAAGATCGACGCATTATTTATACCTATTTGAGTATTCTTTCATTTGACAGCAAGTTCGCGAATAGGAGTGTGTTTGTATGTGTGTGTTTGTATTAGGCCAAGCAACTTTCGGCGGAGTTTCTTCCTCTCATGGAATTTGCAAACGGTTATTCCGAAACTCGAGTTATTACCCGGCCGTTATGCACAACCAACCAGCCACCGCGCGCCGCGAACTTTCCTACAGCGAATTTATTGTTATGCAGTAACTCCGATCTGTAAGCGAAGTCTCGTCGGGTACGCGCGCGATGAACTTTACGCTTTTAATTAACACCACTTTTCCCGCACGGTACTTATGGAAATTCCATGCAGACGCGACGACTGTCTCCGCTGCAGGGAGTTATGTTAACTCGAGTCCGTCTTGAGAGAATCCGAGGGAAACGTTATGCGTTTTAAGTCCTTACATAGGAGAATTGCGAATTCAATTTGAAAGATAGTGAGTAAACAAGAATACTTCGGGATTCGAAGTCGCACCGTTTGAAGTTTGTTCCTCGGGAAAATCTCGACGACGGAGTGTTGCTCTTATAAATATATATTTTATTTTTCGACAAGAGAATTCCGAGGATTATTCGTCCGTCTCGCGTATTTTGACGAGTATCGAAAATAGAATACGTCAAAATTGTGTTGAATTCGATCATTGGTTGGAAGCAAAAATAGGCAAACTAATATTTGAAATAGAAAATAGAAGTAAATATTTAGAAAGCTTTCATTCCAATACAAGTATTAAATAAATGATCAGGTATAAAATTAATAATTAATTAGTATCTTCCAAATTTTATTTGAAATATCTAATTATTTTTGCAAATTTGAAATATAAATATTTTTATTTGCATTTAAATATTATATTATTTCAAATGCATTTCTCAGACTTTTTACAAACTTTAAGCAATATCAATTAAATTATTCCTTTTTTATAATATATTTAAATAGTAATATTGCACATTTACATACTATTTTTACAAAATTATATTCAATCTATATTTCATGTAATATACTTTCTTAAATTTCTTATTGTGATATTATTTCGTTATTTCTGCTCCCAATTGATAATCGAATATATTTTGCTAAAACGAAATCTTTTAAAATAATATTTAAAAATAATAAAATTAAATTATTTAAAAATGATTAAATAATTTTTTAAATAAAACTAATATTTAAACTAAGCTATTTAAACGATTATATATTACACGTAAAGTGTGTGTATCCGATTGGCAGCATTGATTGGAAGTCTATCGCAATAGATGCTCAATTTTCGACAACGTATCTTGATTTATGATACCGAAGGCAATAGGGTCAGATACGTGTATATGTGTATGAGTCATTCGCCATGCGGCTTTTAATTCATGGGTGATGCATGAGTCAGCGCTGAATTACGGGATAAAAGAGCGAATGACCGCTCGTGTATTCGTTAGTACTACATTATATCCCCGCGACATATCGACTTCGTTGCGGAAGCACGTAGCTTGTGCAAGGAACGCGGCACCGTTTCCAGGCGGACACAGTCGCGTTATTAGTTTCGCATAACTGAACTCGATTTATCCTTTCGCATTCACGCTGTATATATCGCGTATATCCCACAATAATTTAAGTCTTAAGCCTTAAGAAACTCTGATCAATCACAGTCAAGTATGAAAAAAATACTCGACTCTCATTGGTCAATTTCTTAAGGTTTAAGGCTTAAAATATCACTCAGACTCGTTTTTATCCTATAGATTTTTCACATGATCACTTGCACAAACCGACAAAAATGTCAAACCGTTTCATATAAAACGTACTCCCACGTGGTTTGCAAATTTTCCCATCGAATGCAGAAGAGAAATTTACATAATGTAATAGAAAATATTGTTATTAAAATGCATTAACATATATAATGTAAATTATAATATAAATTATATATACGTTCAGGGAAACGTTTTTGCGAATACACGCGAACATGTAATAGGAAAGATGACCCTCTGTCACAGGTTTCTCGAAATATTAATTTCTATGATGAAGTGCCTGACATATTACGTTCAATCTCATCAATTTTCTTTTATGAGGTATACCTTATGGTATCGCATTAAATTATTACGATCAAATTATTACATCAGAAGACGTATAATTTGATTAGAGAGATCAGACTTAAATAATGATCAAAGAATTGTTGGAGAGAAAAAAATGAAGGCATACATATATCTTTATAGATAACGTTGTTGTGAATAAAGCATGATTTTTTATGTAAATAACTGTGAAACTTTTTTTTACAATGCGATAATAAAATGCACGAAAGAATATGATTCGTCATGCGATGTCTGCATTCTATACGAATTTTCGCGAGACTTGGAAAAAGGAAGGAAACTGGCTCCTCCTTGGACGACGTTGCGAAACAATCGGAATTGCAAAAGCACGCGAACAGTGTACGTTGGCCCAAATAGCGTGTAATTCGTGCCATAGAATCTAGACTTTATGCATGTTAGATCTTGAGGGAATGAGAACATTCCGTTCTCCGACAGTGATAAAAGTATGCTCGCTTACTTGGCACGGAAACGAATCGCGACGACGTTACCAGCCTCTCGTGTAACAATGGGACCTCGATGAATCATATATGATGGGACATGTGATCACCTACTAGAATGGAGGGAAGATTACACCTGTAGAGCTGACTTTACACGGAGACAAACGTCCAT